CTTTATCCCACCCTCTCATGCCCCCACCCCCTTCCTCTCCCCTCCCACCCCCCACCACTCCACATGTAGGGTGATGCCTTTCAGAAGGGGTCATCTAAATCTGTCAAGTCATTTGGAGTAGGGACTAGGTCTTCTCTCCTGCCTCTAAGTTAAAGAAGTATCCATCCATGGGGGATATGCCCCCAAAGTCTTTTTGTGCACCAGGGATACATCCTGGTTCCACTGGCCGAGGACCCTTAGACTGCACAGGCCTTCTGAGACCCATCTTCAGGGGGTCTGAGTCAGTCCCATGCTGGATTCCCAGCTATCAGTCTGGGGGGGTCTGTTAGCTTCTCCTTGTTCAGGTCAGCTGTCTCTATGTGTTTCTGCAGCCTGGTCTTGTCCTCCTTCTCTGCATCTGGATTCTAGTTTGGCTCAGGGCTCATTGTTTAGTTGTGGGTGTCTGCTTCTGTTTCCATCAGCTACTAGATGAGGTCCCTATGATGGTGGATAAGTTAGTCATCAATCTCTGTTACCAGGGAAGGGCATTTATGGTAGCCTTTCCACTGTTGCTCAAATTGTTTGTTGGGATGGGAGCGCGGGCGCTACATTGGGGTCAGTCTTGTAGGTCGCTGTTCATTTCTCTAGGTTCAGTTTTCTCTTCAACCTATAATAGCTCCCTCTTTTATGCTCTCTCTCTCTCTCTCTCTCTCTCTCTCTCTCTCTCTCTGTCTATTCCTCCCCTGACTCAAACTTCCTAGTCCCACGTGCTTTCCTCTCCTCCTCTTTCTCCTAGCTCCCTCTCCACACACTGCCCCCCCAACTCCCAAAACGCTCATGAGATCTTGTTCCTTTCCCCTCCTGTGAGGGACCTTGTATAAATCACTTAGATTCCTCCTTGTATACTAGTTTCTCTGGCTGTGTGAATTATAGGCTGGTGATCCTTTACTCTATTTCCAAAATCCATATATGAGTGAGTACATACCATGTTCCTCTTTTTATGACTAGGTTACTTTATTCTTTTATTTCCTCTAGAAGTACTATTTTGAATCAGATATGCTTCTGAATATACACAACATGTGGCAATGTCATCTTTATGCTCTCTTTCTGTTTTCTATTATCAGTTTTTGCAAAGCCCTTTTGTATTGCTAATAAACTATAAATATGTACTCTCCTCTTTGGATAAAGTTCCTACGTTTAATTCACCACCAGACATGAAGAAACCAAGGTGTGATATGAGGGAAGGTAGTACTGAGCTTTGCTTTGGTTTAGCCATACTGAATGACTCTATACCTATGTGTCCACCAGATTTCCATGGGTACCCAAAATGTGTCATACTCTATCCTATGTGATTCTATGCCTATATGGGCCACATATCTAGAGAAAACACTATTAGTTTCTAATTTCACAGGTGGAGACTCAGAACTATTTTGCTAGGATATTATGTGTGTTTGTGTATGTTTCCTGTAAGTGTTCATGTGCACTTGGAGAGCATAGATCAATGCTGGACATGTTCCTCAGTTGCTTGCCACCTTATTTTTTCATCGTACTGAAGCTCTGATTTGACCATACTGGCTGGCTTAGAAAGCTCCAGGAACCCTCTTGTCACTCCTTCCCCAGCGCTGGCTTTTTACAAGTTTTACTAGTGCTTTAGGACTCAACTGACACTTTCCTTCTTGAATGACAAGCTCTTCACTGACTCATGTCTGCACTCTATAGAAAGAACTCCTATTAGATGAATACAGCTTTCCTTGATCAGAAGCATACAATAGAGGGCCCCTCGAATATTCCCAATGGGTAGGTTCTTACCCATTTTAAAGAAATTATTCCTGATGACCCTGAATTCCAAGACATCATGCTTGTGTCTTTCAATAATGACGCCAATCAATAACTGCCAATTTTTATTTAATAAGCCAATCAATAATTGAATACAGAGTTTCTGATCAAACAATTAGTCCCAAAGATGAAGTCCATACAAGTTGAATGTAAGTGATTCAAACAGGCACATATCTTGAACCAAATCAAAAAATACGTAAAAGGTCCCATTGAGAGTGTGTGGCATTATTCCTTGTCTTATGGAGACTGTATCAGATGAATGAATTGTGTTTTGTGTGTTTGTTTGTGTTTGTGTGTCCCTGTCTATGCATGTGTATATATTTGTTTGTGTGTGTGTGTGTGTGTGTGTGTGTGTGTGTATGTATGTGTGTGTGAGAGAGCAAGGGAGAGGGAGGGAGGAAGGGAGACAAAGAAAGGGAAGGAGGGAGGGAGGGAAGGAGGGAGGGAGGGAGGGAAGGAGAGAGGGAGGAAGGGAATCAGAGGATAACATCCAGTGTCATCCTCAGAGTCTCTCACTTGCTGGAAGCTCTCCAATTAATTTTGACTACCTGGCAAGCAAGCTCCAGAAATCTACTTGTCTACCTGTATTGAGTACAGGGATTCAACGTGTCCACTACCATAACTGGAATTTTTATGTGATTACTAGGGATTGAATGAGGCATGGGCTTTACTAATCTAGCTGTCTGTCCAGTGCTCAAATAAATGGAAACATCAACTGATTATCAATTCATCTCAAAAAAGGGTTTTTATTCTTTACATTCTAAGGTTGGGGTGAAGGAATGTGAGTGTTTGGGAGATACTGTTTTGCTTATTTATTGCTTTGATGGTTTTCACTTCTTGCTTTTTGCCCTTAGCATCTTACTTGTTTTGAGCTCACTCAGAAATTTTGTTATCGGCCCTATTCTTTTAGCATTTTCTAGTTTTCAAACATTTCACACGATATGTTCTATTACAAGTGATTTGGTAATAAAACAAAACTAATCCACCATGAAATAAGACCACACTGTCACCAATGCTGCTCATAACCTGCCAAAATGTTCATGCTTCAAACCATAATTCTAGTTACACTGGTTTTCAGGGGTGCCTCTCCACAATTCTGTGATGTGCTGGTCCTTCTAGGTACTGTTCCAAAGTATAGTACATAGACAGTCATTCCTTCTATTACAAAGTACAATGACTATGAAATGACATTGTTCTTCTTTTCTGATCTGCCTGCCCAAGACTATATAGATCCCACACAGATTAACACCTAAGTTGGAAATATTCATTAGTGAGATTGATTACTAATGAACTACTTCAAATATTTCATTCTTTCATACCTGGACACCCAAGGCTTAAAGCTCCTTTTTATTTGGTAGATGTCATCTTCATTAACAGACTAGCCTTTGAAGCATGGCATTGCACTGGTGATCTTTTCTGTGTGGTTGCTTTGGGACAACTTTGTAGATTCTGTTTGCTATTTCCTGTGCTTGCTAGAATAATTGCCACAAAGAACAATGGGAGTTGAGTTGCTAAAATACGTTTTTAAATGTATTATTGCCTTGAACATATGATTTTAAGATAAAACTTATAAGCGTAACTTTGAGTAAATATTATGAAGAAAAAAATTCTTAAAAGGCTTTTCCTACATACTACTTAAATGAGAAAAAATTTCTGAGATTCATGCATAGCAAGCTCCATTTGCTCAGCAATGAGGTACTTGCACCAAGTTCCCCATGGCCTTTGGTGTACAATTTTTTGTTTTTAAAGAAAACTACTTCTAAGGTATTAATTTGACATTAATGTTTGTTTATTTAAAGTAACTACTGAACTTAAAAAAAAAAGTAATTTGAATTGTAAACACTCAAGGATAAGCCAGTTTTAGGATCACATTATTGTGTCACAGTAACAGAAATGTGAATCACATTTAACTTGTAGAAGCCATAAGGAAAACCCAAATCTTCCTTTCTGGCACAAAGTTTCCAGGAAATGATACACTATCAGGAAATCACATGAAGTCAGCTGCTTTCTGTTTTGGTTAACCAGGTAGTTTAAAAATTATTATCCTACTAGCAAAGTCTTCAGACTTTAGAAGCAGAACTAGAGGACTCACTGAGGTATACTTTGCGGTTGGTTCTGTAGCTTTTTCTCTTGCCCCAGAACTAACCATGGCATTGAGGATGGATAGGCATAAATCACGCTTTCTTATCAGGTAGCAGTTACCATAGGTGAGCAAGTATCACCTATTTTTGGCGTCAATAAAATATTTGGGTATGGACTGGCTTGAATTTCACTCCTACAATTTTGTAGACTTCGATATCCAATGAATGTTATTTTTTTAGTCTTAAAATTTACTTGCTTACAACAAATGACTAAATTTGAGATTATTGCTTGATTACTTTCATTTCTCAGTTTTTAGGGATAGAAATGTGAAAATGTATTAGCTATCAATGGTCTTTTCATTTTGCCACATTGCTTTGCTTAATAACTGGAAGGATATTTTATATAGTTTAATATAAGACTGGCGAAATATTCAATGCTCTCCGAGGGTCATAGTCTTGGATAGATAATAAAATTGAGAACTCAGCCAATCATGGGGACAGAATTTGACGCCTACTTTAAAGAATTTTAAAAAAAAAATCTTTCTACAGTACATGTGTATTGGAGTTCAGTCCTGTATTCAAACTGGTAAATGTATTGTTTGGTAGATTGTAAAAACAGTTAATGCACATGTTTGAGGTTTCAGAAAAGGGAAAGCAAACATCTGAGGTTTTCTTTTTTCCTTCTTATATGGAGAAAGCCAGTAGACTAAGAGGCAGAAAAAAATTCACAATTGGTCTCCAACTGTGGATTAATTGTGACAAAGACTGGGTGGCATGTTCCGCTTGATCACTATAATTTTCCTTGCACATGCAGGTTGCTCAACCTTAGTCTGGGCAATAAAATCAGTAGGTTTCTGTGTCTTAATCTAACCTTTGCTTGGGAAAAATCACAAAACATATTTGTTTATTTTAGAAAAACTTATTTAGGGCTAATTCAATTGAAATTCACTTGTTATGTAATTTATAACAGGTTTCTTTACTCCATATTGTAAATCTGAATACAGATACTGTCCAAACTGTCCTAAGAATAATGTCTGAATTCACAGTAACAAAAGTTACAAAGTTTGTGCAAAAGGTATTGTACACCATTGGAGTACATAGAGCTTGCTATAGAGTTAACTTTATTTATAAAGCTGAATTTCTCATTGAAACTATTATGTGCTATATTAAAAAGCCTCTGGTTAAAGTGTTTCTAATGGTAAAACTGAAATGTTAGGATGTAATTGCATGTATGTGATGGATGTAAATGTAGGACATCATCGGGACCTTTTAAACAGCATAACTTCTTTGGAGTTCTTCAAGTTTTCCGAGGGTCATAAAGTAAACCCGGCTGTGGTGATTGTTCAGGATAGAAGTAAAGAACAGCTTTAAAAAAATCAGAGAAAAAGCATTATCAGTGAGTTTATAATCCATTTTAGCCAAATAATTCATAAACAAAATGTGCAGTACCAAATTATACCTATAATTTGGTGTAATTAAAATATTAAGCCATCTTGTTTGGAGCAACTTTTCTTTATTTTAAAGAGCATAAATTTGATTAGTTTGGAATTTACAATATGTATTTCACAGGAACCTTCTTACCATAGTTTATAGAATTGTAATTCATATGGTTTGAATTTGTTTTCACTTTTAAAATCTATCCTTTGAGACTTTCATCCATCCACAGAATGAAATATGATCACATGATCACTTGGTCAATTCCCTCTGGTCAATTTTCTTCAATCTCAATGATCTCTTTTCAAAAGCTGCCAGTGCCCTTCCCAAAGAACAATGATTCTTCTTCCCTTATCAGCCACCAACTGCCATGTAATATTTACTGTAGGTGGTTTTCACTGGATGAAGTTGCTTATTAGTTTTGGTTAACAAAACTTTCCTTTAGTTGAGTAAGGGTGACAACAATGGACATGCCAAATTGGACTGGGGAAATCTCACAAGACCTCAACTCTACACAAAGAACTACAGGCAATGAGGAAAGCTGGGATCTGAGAGCAGAAGAGGTGGTCCTCCCCAGGGAAGAGCACATCAATTTGTTGTCCAGTGCCAACATGCCAGCCCTTAATACCTACATACACACAACGTTTTGTGGGCTAAACAGGTTATATTTAGGAATATGTATGCTTATACATGTAAGCATGCAATAACAACTAGTGAAAAAAGGGATTATGAATTTTAATGACTGGGGAGGAGTATATCAGAGAGTTTGGAGGAGAGAAGGGAATTAATTTTTTTTTTTTTTTACTTTTTATGATGTCATCTCATTTCACTGAAATAAGAAAACCATAAAAAGTAGAAAATTTCCATAATTTCTTAAATATAAACAGAAATGACAAGTGACAGAAAAGTTTGTTTTCTTGTATTAAAGGAAAATTTCAATTAAAATAAATTTGTTTTTATTTTTGAGATTATAATTAAATTGCAACATTTCCTCCTTTCTTTGGTATAATGAGTTAAACCCAATGGGACAGAGAGGAACATGTTGAATAAACATTCGTTCTTCCATAATAAAGGAAATCAGAACAGAGCACAGATATTCTGTAAATATGTTTCTTGTATTGGTTAATGAATAAAGCACTGTTGGCCAATAAGAAAACAAGATAGGTGGGACTAGGAGACAAGGAGCATTCGAAAAAGTAGTAGGGAGGAGTCAACATGGAGAGTCTTGAGAGAGCAGAAAGCCGGCCCCTCTCTCCAGTAAGATGAGATCACGTGGAAATACTTAGACTGATAGAAATGGATTAATATTTAAGACAGAGCTAGCCCATAAGAAACAAGTAACTAGTCTACAGCTTTATATCTAATACAGTGTCTTTGTGTGTTATTTGGGGCTGGCACAGCTCTGGGAACAGGCTGGTGGAAAAAAACTACTCTTAACAATCATCAAAAGTTACACTTAGTAGGTTATCATAATGAAGATGAGTGTAAAATAAACAGACTATCCTTAACACATTTTATGTGTCAAGTCCTGTCTAAGATGCTTACTGCATACATATTATGTAAGATTTTTACCTTGGCTCCCCAAAAAGCTCTTAATAGTTCCATCTTAGAGATGAAGGGATTGTGTGTTTTTTTGTTTTTGTTTTTTTTAAAGATCAAACAAGGGTTGGTAATGTGGCCCAATAGTAAGAGTGTTTGCATAGCACATGTGTGAGGTCCAGGGTTCCATGTCCAGCATTCTCCCACCCCCTAACAAAAGAAACACTAAATATCAAAGTTCTTTGGCTCTCACATCTTGTTAGGTGACAGAGGCAGAACTGCAATCTCAAACTCTGATCTCAAACCTTGGTTCTTAGCATTATATTCCAAAATTGGGGTTCTTTCCTTTACAGGAAGTGATTTTGCCCTGCTTTCTCCTGTATTAGCTTAAATTCTGTGTAATCCTTGATAATGACTTTTAATCTTACTAAGATTATTTCTTTCAAGTATTATTTCTTAAAATATTATCGTGGATGATGAACTTTCCCACCTAGCTATTTTTAATAGTTAACACTGATCAAATTTCACAGAAAATTTCCAAGTCTCAATTTTAGTTTTCTTTCCTGTAAAACAGTTATCATTATACCTACATGTGAAAATAAATTGAGACAGCCTCTAAAATAGCAAGCATAACGCCTAGCATACAATTATATATTCAACAAATTTAAGTACTTTTGCCTCCTTTTATTCTTGGAATATGCTGAAAGCTAGAAATGGAGGATTTTCAAAAAGCAAAGAAATGCTTCTAAGGAGATGGCTGCAAAAGGGTGTCTCACACATGGTTGGTAGGAGTGCATTATTACAGCCATCCTGGAAAGGAGCATAAAACAACAACAAACCAAGACAACAACAAAAGTACAACCGTAATAAACTTGCCATGTGTTTTGGCTCTCACATATCTCGGTTTGTATCACAGGAATTTGGTACTAGCCTACCAGGGATATTCATATGCCATGGTTATTGGCACACTATCCACAATAACTTTTGAGTCAATCTAGGCACCTGTCAACCAATGAATAGACAAGAAAACCCAAGCCCAAACAAAAACCATCCATTTGCACGAAAATACATAGAATTAGTCAACTTAGATTAATTTAAATAAGATAAAAAAATAAAACATTAATGATTTATTTCATATATCAAAGCTAAAAGAAATCCATGTAGTGATAGGAATGACACTGGGACTAAGGCAGCTAAAGGGAGTTTAGATCTGATTAGTGCACATGGAATATCACAAAGAATTCATTGATATGTGGGATTAAATTGTGGTAATCAAAACCAAAATATTTAAACCATCCTGAGGTTTGCTTTCAAAGTTTTCTTAAATATCTTTATATGAAAAAGAAAATGATTAAGAATCAAAAATAATGCAATTTCTTGCCAAATAAAATATCAATATAACTAGATCTTTACTTTGAAATTGGGGTACATTTTTTTCAATAGTGTGCCATTTTAAAAAGTATATTCCTAAATATTTATGAGTGAAAGAAAAATTTCAGAAAGTCTAATTAATGTCAATGCCTAGTTTATTTCCGTTTTATTGAAGGGTGTAAACTGTACCTTGTCACCACGGGTACACAGGAATCTCAGTTTCTTGATTGACCTGCGCTTCAGCTCATTCTCAAGGATGCTGGACTGCAGGGAGCGCGCTTCAATAGCTTTTTGGTCTGACCCGGTGATTCTCTGTGTACACTCAAAAGCTACAATACAAATGGAAACATCAGCAGAATATTTCATTTTTGTAGCAGGAGGATAAAAATCATAACCACAGTTGACCATTCAGAAGTTAACAGTTATAGGTAAGGTTAAAAGCATCTGGTTTTAATCTTATTCTGAAGTCCTCCAATTTAGACATGTTGCCATTTTGGGCTGGTATTCAGGGTAGTTAATCTATACATCCCACAGGAATCAACATTGACTTGTTAGATCTTAGTCAATGTTTGTATTTGTATACTGTAAGATCAGACTAACCCGTGTTAACAACTTTGTAAACATTCAGATAAATCCATGGCTTTAAAAAAAATAGTAATAGTGTAGGTAAAGTACAGTGTCACAGCAAATATGGACTGAGGGGTCACAAAGAGCTGGATTATAGCATAAAAAGAAAATTGAGTTATGAACAAATGAAAACAAGGGCTTGGGATTTAGTTCAGTGGTAAAGGGCAAGACTCTGGGTTCAGGTCTCAGCCCTGGGAATAGTTAAAACTGAAATAATGTCTAATTCAAACCATGACTCAGTAACTCTCATTTCACTGAGTACATTTTCCCATTACAAGCAGAAGTGAGGGTAATTTTGTGCAGTTAAAAGTTTTTTTTTTTTCTTGTCAAGGAAAATTGAAAACATTTGAAACTCTTTTGGCTTGTTTGATAATCGTTTGTGACAATATCATTTATGAAAATACTATCTGAAAGCAGGACTTTTGTTCTGAAAAGGTCATTGCCTTCTTTGATTTTGTGAAGTATGTTGTGGCTGAAGAACTAATATTATTAATTGTTTGACTTTCAAGTTTCTATTCTTTATGAAACTTACGGGGGAGAAAATTTCCATATATAAATTAAATTGTAACATTTAAAACGACACAACTTTTAACTGAAGTTAAAAAACAAAATGTGGCACTTTGATGACTGAAAGCAGAATTCTTAATATGACTCTCTTTTTTGTTTTGTTTCTTTCATTTTAAAGGGGGAAACTGGAATTAGCATAGCTATTTTTTTAATTCAATGGTTTTTTATCAAATGTTCTCAGGTACTCCTGTTTAAACCAAAATTTATCTGCCGTAGTCTACATTAAATTTACATAAAATAACTTATGGAAGACTAAGTAAAGTACAAAAGTAACTAGCAAATGCAAACTCTGAGCAATGGAGCTTATCTCAAAGAAAATGCAGAGCATGAGTGCACACATTATCCTGGGTTTATTACAATGCAAACGACTTCCTGTATGATTCTGATATCAACATTGTCAATAAATTACTGTCATATATTGACTATGAAAAATAGCTGTCCTGAAATAACTTTATTAGTGTAATTTCAGGCTCTAATTAAATTTATGAAGTGTGAAGAGCCAATGGTCTGGCTTACAGTAACTAGTTAAGAGATTTAGCATGTATGAATTTGAATTTTTTATTCACATGACTACTATTATTAAAATAGTATTCCTCTCAGCAGCTGCACAGAGCAAAACTTTCTAATTTAACACAGCCTGTCTCCTGAGTCCAATACCCAGTATTTACATAATCACAGATTCACTTAACCTAGACACTTACAAAACTAGTTTGCTTTCTAAAATGGGACTCTGAAAGTAGTGATTTTTTAGCAAAACTTTTTTTAATTCTTAAAACTTCTAACAATTATTTGGGAATAAAGAATATTTTCCTTGTTATTGAAAACAGTTTAAACAAATGTAAATTTTAGTTTAGGAACATCTGGATTTAAGCTAGTTATAAATAGTAAGTTGTTTTGAGGTAAAAAGCAGATTGAATTATTTCCTTGATATCAGTGCTATATTGTAATATATTCTCAATATGCAGTAAATAAGCAATTGTTCCATGTGCTTATAGTGCTATAATTTACTTTAGTTGTCTTTCAAATTCTACCAAGTGAAAATATCCTTTTGATCGAGGTTAGAAATTTTCTTGCCTGAGGACAAGAGATGTTGTAGACATTGAAGATTCCTTTTATTCTCATGATGATCTAGTGGCTTGAATACTAAAGTTATTATGCTTAGTTTCTCATTTTAACTTGGCTACCTGATTTTCATTTCTGGGATCATATACTTTTTGATGTTCTGGGGATGGATTCTTTCCCTAGGCTGCATCACATTATTCCCAAAAGTATCACTATAAAAGATATAACATGACTCATCACTCATATTTTCTTTTGCCCTAGATCTATCAATTTGTCCTATAAGCATTTAGTGTCTGTCATTTATAATGGCCTTAAGCCCTCTGCGAATTCTTAGCTTTTTGAAGAAATTAGAGCAGGTTTTCGGGATAGTCCTTAATACTGACTATGTATAAAAAATTAAAAGATTCTGCAGATGCAATGCAAAAGACTAAGAGGATGTTGGCCTGTTTGGACAAACAGCTTTTCCTTCCCCTTACCTTTCTTTTGTATTACCTACTGTCTCTTTAAAAACATGTGCATGTGCACCTGCACACACACACACACACACACACACACACACACACACACACACACACACACACAAGGGGGGTGTCATTCATGTTGTCATTCTACCCTTTACACTGTCTAATTTTTAACTATTTGCATTTATTCTGTTCTCTAGTCACTATGTGTTATAATAAGCATAACAAAGAATCTGAAATTATTTAATTTCCCAGACCAGTATCCCTAGGCTATTTATAGAAACAAAGTGTTCTATCCAGAAAAAAAAAAAAAAAAGTAATTCTCCATGTTGCCACCTGGGTGGCCACTAACAAGTATTCCAGGCAGTTCTATATGTCTTTTGATATAAGTCACTTCACACAAATACCACTCTATAAACAGAACACTGATGACCAGACAAAATAGAAGTACTATTAAAGTATAAGACTTTAAACTAAGTGCTTTAAGTAAAAACCCAAATTATTTAGTACACATTTTCATTCTCTTAAAGCTTCTCTGAATCATCTGGGAGGAAAAGAAATTTAGTACATACCCACGGAAGATGGTATGTCTCTCCACACTTCAAGGATCTTCTTGAAGAGTTGTTCATTTGCTTCCTCAGAGGCAGATCCAGCATTGAAGGTGAGCATCACTCCAATTCCCAAGCAATCAGGTAAAATGATGATATTCTGTGATATAATGATTTCCAGGGACTTGGATTATGTCTCATAAAGATTTTTGTATCTAGAATTTCATCACTATTATATTAATTGAAGCAACTATTACTTTAATTAAAGACAAAAAGATGTTCCAAATGCAGAGAGAAAGATTATCTCTGTTTCTAAATTTAACTAAACATTTGCGAAGAGTTGCTTTCCATTATGTCACAAAACCATCAATTTTAATATTCTCTATTTTTGTTTAGGATAATAATTTGGAAGAAAAAGTCAAGCTGTACTTCTAGCACAGAGAAATTTCTTGGAATGCCACAAAAGCATTATGTATTATATAGGACAATTAATAAAGTCCTGAATTTAGGATTCATTTCAGAAATTAAGCAATATTTTCATAATGAATTGTGAGCCAAGTAATAAATCATATACATAATTCTTGATCATTAGCAAATTAATGTAAAAAAAGGAAAATAAACCTCAAATAGCTTGAGCCTCAAATATTTTAAGGGACAACTTTTAATACTGTTTATATCTTGTTTTATTATATTTGTCTCCTATTCAAGAAAATTTAGACTATCTCATTCAAGTCACATAATGTTAACATAGGCTTAATATGCAAATTCAGAAGTATTGGTTGGCAGAATAAGGAAATACTAAGAGATAAGTAAGAATTTGTAATTTTTCAGATTCATAAATGAGACACAATCTGTTTAGAGCACAGATATTATGCCATTGACAGTATTTCTCTGATAAATTTTTAAAAAGGTGTGTTTTGCTGTTTTTCCAAATTAGCAAGTTACAGGGGGGGAAAGGGCCAGAAACTTGTACTTGCCAAAGCCAGCGTACTCAGGCCAATTGCTTGAGGCCATGTCTCAGCAACAACAATCCTCAAAACTAAAATGGGAATCCAGAGGCAAAAAGCAATTTTAATGCGTTCCCTGGGTACTTGCATGAGCAGTTGAACCAGAAGCCAGACGAAAGAATGAAAGAAAATGCAAGAAATAAGGTTGTCTCAAGAAGATCTGTTTGTAATAAAAAGGGACTGCTGTGAACCCAAACAGCCTCTGAGGTAATTTCCCTGCTTCTCGAATGCTCAAACAACCGGGTACTCTTCAGCACATGTGGCTCCCCAACAATGTGAGAGCCTTTGTGATCTAGCACTTTGGAGGAAATATTTTTAGGATATTCTTTTTCAGAAGACACCCTCCTCTCCCTTATAATAGAGTCCTTTCTATTTTAGTGGGTCAAGACACTAGGGAATTTGTCTAAAAATATGTTTGCATACATATGAGGTATCCTAATTAGGTCAGAAAATGATTTCATCTCTTCTCTCATTCACATTTCTATAGCAAATAAATTCCCTGCTTATTACTTAGATTTAAACTTCTTCAATGATTTTATTTTTCAAGCCAGTGACTAGTGTATCCCAGGCTGGTCTCAAATTTGCTAAATAGCCAACGCTGGCCATAATACTCCCAAACATCCTGACTACACTTCCAAAGATATGGGATTATGTGTGTTATGTGTACTCTAATATATCTAGTTGGGCTTTTTTAGTAGTGTAGACTTAAACCAACATTCAAATATTCCTTATTGCACTGGCTTCTGAATGAAGGCTATCTGTTATGATGATAAATAGAAGATACATGAAGCTATAGAGACAACTTAAACGAAGAGTAATATAGTTATATCAAAATTCTTTTGTGGTTTTGGCTGAGATTGTGTTTAATATTTCCATAGTAGAAACAGGATAAATTGTATATATAGGCAACTACAGGGTCATTAGCTAATGACAGTTATTTTCACCAAAATATCTTTAAAGATGCCTTAACCAATGTTCTGCTAATTATTTTATGTCATTGGTTTAATTGCATTATTAGAGACATGGACTATATTTCTAAAATTGTTCAAAATACCACCCAAATTGAGTTATTTAAAGTACATAAATGTCTTGTCCATGGATTTTACATAATGATAACCTGCTGAAATTTTAATATTTAATAAATTGAATATCAAGAAAGGATGAAGCAAAAAAAAACAACTGCTGGTAAAGGCATGCCTTTTAAATATAACTTTCATCTAGGAAAACCATCAATTCCACCATCAATATTTTGTATGATGCATTTGGAGTGGTATGGTGTTATTATCAAGCTCTTTACATTAATGATGAATATTTGTATAAGCATTCACAATTTATATCTTGGGCCTTACTTACATGTACATATTGTTGTGAATTACTGTAAAAATACTGAATCTTTTCATCAGAAAATTTCAAAAATAGTTAAGAAATTGAATAATTTTTAAAGTAGTTTGCTATAGTCTATAGACAATACAATAAAGATGGGAGTGCACATAATTATGTAATTCTCTTGTTGTTTTTTTAAATAAAGTATATTAGTATATTACAGGGTATAGAATACTAAAGCCAACTGAAAAAGCATCCTAGGCTCAATTAGCATAAATGCACAAAGATGAATGGATAGTGAATGTAGAACACAAAACCATTAAAAGGAGACAGACCTCAATTAGTTCCACTTGATAATGGCCAGATGGTGGTGTGGGCTTGAGATTATCAGATCTGGTTAATCAATAGAACTCTGGATTTTAAAGGCTACGTGTATTCATTAATAACAAAATAATTGTGGTCAAAGAAAATCTGTCTGCAGACTGCACTTAAATATTTGAGGAATATAACCATTAGTGATTTTTATTTATGTAGCAATATTCTCTGCCATGCTAAACTTACCTGTTAGATCTCTACACCCTAAAACATACATGTACATGCAGGTAAAAGATTAATGCACATGAAATAATAATTAAAATAGCGTTAAAAAGTTAAAGAAATGGAGGAAAGTTATACTTTAAGCTTTTGAGAATTTTAGTAACTGGAAAATTTCAAAGAATATACAATAAGTTCTAGAGATCTGAATCTTACGTTATTTGGCAAGGTCACATCAGACATCACTTCAGATTCTGCATCAATGATGTGATATCCATTAGCTGAGCTGAAGAAAATCTTCAGTGTTTTCTCAGAACCAACAGCCAGGTCAACTGTCACTGGCTTAAGATCAGGGGTAGGAAACACCTGAAAATATAAAAGTAAATGTGGCCCAAAGGCCAAAATGACATTCTGACTTAGGCAAATATTTCCCTATTCTTTTACCAGATTTACAAGTTTATCAACCTCAGATGGCTGTTTATGGTTGGTTGATGAACTGATTTATGATCCTGGGGATTGAAAACTCGGGCTTCCTACAACCTACAATGACCAAATTGTTTTCACTCTGGAAACTGCTTATGGCCTCGTTATCTTATTAGCTGCCCTTAAATTCCTTGCCTTGAGCTTCAGCAAATGAAGTAGCTCATCTGGTCTCTTAAACCGGTTCGCTGGATCAGCTGCCTGTATTTTTGCCAATATTCGTATATAGGCTTCATAGGACATGTAGTCTCCTTCGGAGTCTGCTGATTGATCAATGCATACTTGGTAAGGAAGGAAAAAGGCCATATATATTAACCTATGGTAGACAGATTATGCTCTAAGACTCCTATGGTTTATAGTTCATGGAAATAAAAGGCCAAACAGGATTTGTTGCAAAGATCAGATTATATAAAGGACTGAGCATTATGGGACTCATAATAACATATTCACGAGGCAGGCATCAAGAATGGATCTTAGACAGGACTTAGACAGGAACTAGGTAGACACACTATTGGTATTTATTTCTTTGTTTTCCAGTTCCATTCCAGGTAGCACTGACAAGTCAGTCAGCAGACACCCAAGAATTAACCATATCCAAATGTTGGCAGTTGAACCAAGACCCAATTTATGCAGATCAGATTAAGGATGCTATATGTGTCATGGCAGACTGATTGTAAAAAGAGGCTATAGGATACTGTGCAGACAGTGCAAATAGTTCTTGAGGAGTATTCACATGTATTATCATGAGTGCAAATAATTCTTGAGGAGTATTCACATGTATTATCATGATATATATATGATGTTTGTACCTAAAAATTAGAAGATGTAAATAGATCCTGATCTAAGATACAAATGTATTTCATGAATACCTTAAAGTTTATCAGCATGTGCTCCTATTAGTGATTTGTGAAATCTTTATTTGGAAAAGTAGTTCAAGATCACTGAGAACATTTGTTAAAATCTGATTCTCAGGCCCCACTGCAGACCCACGAAATCAGCCTGGGGTTGGGTCTGAGATCTAAACATTTAACAAATGCTCTCACTGATTCTGATGCCTATAAAAAACATGATAAAATAGCTACTTGGCTTTTGAAAACATCTATCTATTTCAATAGAACTCAATTTATGGGAAGAGAAGAAATCAGCCATATTTTATTTTGGCCATTAGATGGTTTGTTTCCATAGCTGAGCCATACAAGTTCTAATCTAAAGCGCACTGATGTACTTACCCACTGTTGTCCCAGATCAGTTCTACAGAGAAGTGTGTTTCAGATTGGAAGAAATATATTCCCCCCACTTCCTTCCCCCACTCACCTACTATAATGACAATTGGAGTAAAGCTTTTATCTCCCCCTTTCCAATATGGTTTCCTCAGTATCTCCATATCTCGTCTTACCTTCCCCTCTGCTCTCCACACCCCCCGCCCGCCCACTAAGAGAGAACAGGGACTTTTCCAGCTTCAAGTCATTGGGGTATTTGGGCCTCTAGAAGAGAAGATCTTCAGGTTGACTACAGGAAATGGGAGTGAGGAGCTGGTGGGTATGTCCTGTAAGGGGAGGGGTTGGGGACTTCCCCTAAACTCTCCCTTGCTGTGGTGCCTGTGGATTGTCTAAAAAAGGTTAAATGATAATTATTGATATATTCAAATTGCAGTAACTGTAGCTAAATGATATGTATTTCCACATCTACATTCCAAACTGTTTGTTTATAATGTCTTCTTTAGAGAAAAACGAGATGATGCAAATGAAATGGTTACTCACTTTAATAGCAGTGCTTTCATCAAAGGATTTTGGTGCCCACGCATAAAGGTGAATTGATGATTTCAAAGCAACTGCAATGTATGTGGTTTCTTCGTGTTGAACTACAAGGGCAATATACAAAAGTCATACCTCAGAATCAACAAGCAGGAGTTTATATTTATTATGACAGTTGAAATAACCACAATGTTAAGAGCAAATGCTTTGTATTTTTAGAATAGCTACTTGGCTAGAGTTGTGTTCTCTTCATTCAATATCTGTGTAATTCATGAATTGTGTTTATTAACATTCAAATGCATTTGATTTTTACTATACACTACTGCAAAATAAGGGATAAAAATAAAGCTCTAGTAAAGTTGAGTGCATCTAAATTTTATCTTAGCCCTTGGGAGGCTCAGGAAGAAAGACTCTGAGTTTGAGACCATCTTAGGGCTAAATACCAAGAGCCTATCTCAGAAATCCAAGGGCTTTGTGTGTATAGTAGTGCTGAAGTGTTTTTGTACTACACACAAGGCTCATTGTTTCATTCTTAGCAGAGAATAAGATTAAAGTCAAAATAAATGGAAAAACTTCCTAGGTTCACAGATATGTAGGTTTTCTCAAAATGCAATAATTTAAAATAATCTCTACAGATTAAATATAACCTATATTGAAATCTCATTGATTTGTTCTGTAGAAATGAGGAGGCTAAGTCCTAAATGTCACACATTGTCTTGTAATCATTCAAACTCTTCACAGAAGTCTTCCCAAAAACCCAAAGTTGAAGTACACCCATTTTCTGAGCTCAGTGTTTACTGAAAATTATACTAGTAGACTTACTGTATCATTAAGTCATAAGAAAGAATGAGATTATATAATTTTTCAGGAATAGATATAGCTAGAGCTTGTTACATTAAGCTAAAAAATCAGATTCTAGGAGACCAATAGCACAGATATTTTTCTCACATATATTACTTGCATTTAAGAAAATGGGGCTGATGAGATGGCCCAGTGATTAAAGGAGCAAACTGCTTTTGCACAGGACCCAAGTTCAGAGACTGGCAACTTACTTGGATACTTTAAAATTACCTGTTACTCTAGAATCTAGAGTCTAGATCAATGTTATCTTTGCTGACCTTGTTGGGAACCAGATACACATGGTGCATAGACATACATGCAAGCAAGACAGTAAAACAGACAAAATATTTGTAAAACAATGCAAATACAGACAAACTGAATACAATTGAGCTTCAGCAAAAAAAACTCATCATATCTAAACTCAATGGCTCAAGACCATTCAATAATAAAAACAGTGCCTTAAACAAATGGTGCTAGGACATATAGTAAACTATATGCAAAAGAACAGAGCAACAGACTGTGTCACAGCATACATGAAATAAGTTAAACTGGATCAAAGATCTAAATGGCAGAGTTTATGCTGTAAAACGCTAAGCAATAACAAATGGATAAAAATTGATACCTTTCTATATAGCAATATATCTTTATTTTTGACAAAAAACTATATATAAGTGATAAAAGAAAAAGTTACCAAAGCTTCATTCAAATTAAAAACTTTTGTGCATTCTTAGGTCTAAGAAAGTGAATTTGGCTCTGGTGGTGCAGACTTGAACATTCATCTATATGGAAGTCTTATAAAAGAATTAGTATTGTAAAAACAAGGCCAGTCTGCCCAACTTAGTGAGTTCCTGTCTGAGAATATAACAATGGCTGGAAAAATATCTCAGTAATAAAGTTAAAGCCTGGTATAGACCAGGAGCCTAAGTTAACTTTTCAGTATCACAGGAAAGGTAAAAGTGGAAATGAAAGAAGGAAGATACACAATCCAGGTACTAAGAAAAAGTATTCGCAATTACTTATCTGATAGGAGTCTAGCATACAGGATTTACAAAGAATTTCTACAATTCTATTCAACAACAGGGCAAAAAGACTAGAAAGTACTTTCTCCAAGAACAATATACAAATGGTCAATAAATACACTGAAAAGTATGGAAAGGCATTACTAAATAACAAAAAGCATATTGAATTATGAGGAACTGCTTTAAATCTGGTATGATGACTAGTATTATAAAGAGACCCAGACACATATGTGTGTTCAAATGGATACAGAGAAAATGTAGTCCATGTGTATTAATAGTTGCAATGGGAAATTCTGCATCTAATTTGAAAAGAGTTTAAGAGTACTATTCAAGAGAAAAAAAGATGCTAAAAATACAGAATTATTGTTATAAGCCTGAAAGTAGGAAGCATTCAAATGTCTATTAACTTATATGTGAATAAATACAAGTGATACCTATATAATACATTAATATTGTGTAGTTTAAAAAAATGAAATATTGAAGCATGCTGTATTGTGATACAACATGAATGAATCTTGAGAGCATTACATAAAGTGAAAAAAAATGTGTTATAGAAGACTACATAATACATGGATGTATTTCTGTTAGCTTCTGAGATAAGGCAAATATATAGGGAACGAAAGTAGGTCAATGTTTATAAAGTACTTGACAAAAAGTGGGAAAAGGACCAGGCGGTGGTGGCACATAGAGCAAGTTACAGGCCAGCCAAGGCTACACAGAGAAGCCCTGTCTTGAAAAATCAAACAAAAAAAGTGGGGAAGGGGTGAAGGAAAGAAATACTAAATACCTGCAATGGAATACTCATCTTAACTTTCATGTAAATAAGATCATAGTAATAATAAAAATAAGATCATTTTTAAAGTTCACTTTTAAAAAAACTACATTTTGTAGTATTTGAATAGTTTCAATAGCACTATTGGTAGAGAAAGTAAAAGTTGAGAAAGTAAAAGTTATGCAAAACATTTGCTTGTTTATGTAACATCCCTCTTCTTTGGCTAGAATACTGTCTCCTGATTCTCTCCATTATTCTGTCTCTTGATCATATTTTTTCCTCCTCTTACTTTATCTCACCTACCATTCTACTTGTCAATGGAAGAAATGACTTTTGTCAAGGATGATACTATCATTGATTTAAATGAACTCAGCTAGGAAAATGGACTTTACTTGCTCATTCACCTAGAATACAGATTTCCAAGATCTTTGTAAAGGTCTGTCATTGAGATAAATTGTAGCATCTCAGTAAGAGGTAGTTGTACAATATAAGCTTCTGGATTAATATCTTAGAATATCTTTCACCTTTGGAGCTATTATATTTATATAATATAATTGCAAGACAGTCGTGGTATCTAAAGCTAAGAGTTTTCTTGTACTTCAGTTTTCTAGATATTAATTCCTTCATTTAAAGGTATATGTGTATATATATACACATGTGCACATGTGAAAGCAAAAAACATCAGTTGATACAAATATTATCTTGCAATTTATACAATGTGATTTCAGCAATCTTTCACCTGGACTATCAATTCTGCTCTAAGGGCCAATTGCTTCAGAGTAAAAAGCTAAGAAGACAGGGGATTTGATTCAGAAAGGGAAGTTAGTATAACTTTACATCATAGTTGTTGACAGCTGAGAACAGTACTCTGAGGACATAAGGGATTATTATTCTATTTTACAGAGATATTTGTGGAGAGACACAGGATATGAAAACATTCTATAATGAAACAAACTATTCGGAGATCACAGACAAACTCAGTTTCACTGTAAAATTTCCTGGTCAGCATTAAATGAAATCATATTTTTTGTCATTCAAGAGAAAGGCAATTGCTACAGATACATCAAGCATAGTTATAATAAGGGAAATATTGATTTCAAATATTATGAGTGATGAGTGACTAGGAAAGGAAGGTAGAAGAAGTAAACCAAACTTAACTTCTCAGCCAAATTCTTCCATTTCTTTGTCCTGTCTTTTGTAATTGTGCACCTCTCTACATGAATGGTAGCATAAACTATATAGCATTATTAAATGTGAAATGTACATACGGACACTGAAGTGTTCACAGCCAGTCAACTTATCAATGGATTTACAAGCCTCCTCTGTCTTCAGCATTTCCTTCTGCCTTCTCTTGCTTTCTGGATCATTATTCAGAATCTTGTTCCTCAGCCAAGTCAAATGATACACGCGAAGTCTGTTCTTGTGGCCTGGTGGGAACACATGATGGCATTTCAATTTTCTCTCTCTTTTTTTTTTCATTTTAGAAGTGTGCTGCTCTTTAAATCAAATGTTCATTAAACTAAAAGTCACTGTTAAAAACTAGCATGATACTTTTGACTTCTGTCTCAATACCAAGGGACAATTGGGCTGTTCTTTTGCTGCCTCTGTGTCTATCTGAAGTGGATTTAACATACTCCACTAGGATAGATTAAGAATGTCTCTAGGCAGTCAGCCTGATGACTATCCATTCATTTGAACTTTCCTGACTCATGGTTCCTGAGTGGTTCCCAGACTTAGAGGCTGTTCCTTGTATTATGTGTGGATGAAAAGATATACATGGATATTCATAAATACATACATATAATGTATTGAGATAATTTTATATACTACTAATGAGTGAGATAGTCTTGAATTTTAATTTTTTAATTAATAATCTTGTCAAGTTCATACAATTTATTTAAATACTAAAGGCCCTATATAATGACTTCATTTTTTAGTCATTTTAAAATTGTTATAAAAATCCCACTATTAAGAATTTTTTTTTTGAGATCAGGCTAGCTTCAAACTTGCAGGCCTACTTGCCTTTGCCTCCTGAGTGTTGAGATTAAATGTGTGTGCCCCCATGCTCATCATACCAGTAAAATTCTTAATGTGATTAATTTTACTCTGTTTTTATAGGGAAATTTGAGTGTCAAATTAAAGACACTTATAGTCATTTTATACTTGACTGGTAGCATAATCTACTGAACAACTTCACATTGCATCCATGTAAGTTCTTTCCAGTGTAGCCTTTGAGGCTACAAAAATAATTTTTAGGCTGAGGGGTGCTTGCTTACTGTGCACAAGGCCCTCAGTGTTAAAACCCAGCAACCTGCCCCCCTCAATCCCCATTACATTTGGGTTCAGTTTAAGGGTTGTAAAATGTCTATCTTGGTTTGAGCAAATCAGATGAAAAAGTCTCTCGTCCAGTTGCTAAGATACTCAGATATTTTCGAAACTAAGCATTGCTTTTGTGTACCTGAAATCATTACAAATGGTTGGTCATGAAATATGATTAAAATATTATGAAGTCTGAGTTCATCTCTAAAGGGATTTGCCTTTAATCAAACCTTGAAGCCAAATGAATCTCATTCAATCATATGACAGATTGCACACTAATATATATTCCACATACATCTTCTATGTTATGAAGTATAAAAATTCATATAAATATCAGTGGTTGGTATGATTTTATTTGGTGGGCAAATCTTATGTCAACCATTTCCATGAATTCTTTTTAGGTTTAGGTCTCATACTTAGGACAAAGAGCTAACTAAGGTGCTTATTAACATATCAAAGCAGACACTAGCTGCCAGCTTCTCCTAGCATCCCTCAGTCCCTACCTGTTACAGGGTCCTCCTTACTGCCATATCCTGCCCCCTACCCTGAAGTTTCCATCCCAGGAGCTGGGCTGCTCTCCTCCTAACTTCTCTTTCGTATATACCCCAGCCATTTTGGCTACACTGATTGTTTCACTCTTTCTCCTTTTGGTGCCCTGGCCTCTTGGCTGCTACTCCATGTTCCCCTCTCTCTCCTCATAGGGCCTATCCAGTCTGCTCTCCTATCATGTCTACTTTGGACTCTCCCACGTGCCTCTGACTATGTTCTCCCCGTATCTCCAAATAAACGTTCTCCTCTACCATGCCTAGGAGCAGTCATTTCCTGCTTTTACTTATTTATTTTCATTCATTTAGAAGTCAAAATTAATTTAATACCAACTTACTTGCTTTTTCATAGTCAAGGTTCCAGGCTGTGATTATGAAAGATTATGAAAATCAACTACTGTTTGGGAAAGGTGTAGATGTTTTTAGGGAATCCATTCTTGTAAATAATCTGTCTGTTTGCCCTTGGAATATTAAGTGGAGACAAGGACAATTCTGTTTTGCTCAATTACTTATTCACTTGTGTTTAGGACACAACAAATCTAGATGGTAGATATTGGTGGGGCCACTGGTGTGTGAGATTACAGATCTGAAGTTTTGGAGACAGCTCTGAAAAGAACTTCCGAGAATGCAAATGTAGTTTTCTTGATAACAAACCTAGGTTAAGTGCATCAAGATCAAATGGATTTTGTTTACAGTGTAAATGTACAAGAAAACAGAAGAAATTCTGATGTCCCAATTAAAGGTTATATTTAAAGTGTTTTCCTATGAATATTTGCACCTAAGAAAGCCTTTAACCTAGTTTGCAGTTCAATTACTTTGCATAATTACTCAGTTAATTTTAGGATTTAAACAAACCAGAGATGGTAATCAGCAAATTGAGTGGCTCCACGACTTGAATCTGGCGGAACGGTCTTCGCTTTATAAGTTTAATGATGTCTGCCTTTCCACTTCTGTCCATCAGGTACAGATTAGATCGGGTGCCCAGCAACAAATTGACTCCTGTTAAGACATAGAAAAGTGCTGTATTAGAAGGTAATTTATATTAGTGTGTATTAATTCTACAGAAAGTGTTTTCAATATGATTTTTTATAATTACCTATTACATAATTTAATCAAAATCACTCTCATCACCCTCCCTTATTATTCCTTCTCACTCTTCCTGGGTCCTCTTCCATTTCCCTAATATTCTCCATTCAAGTTTTAGGACCTTTTAAAAAAATAAATCTAGATTTTGCATGTGAGGGAACTGTGATATTTGCTTTACACATCTGGTTTATTTCAATATCCAGTCATGATTTATTTTCCTACAAACATAATTCTGCTCTTTTTCACAGCAGAATAATACTCTAGTGTGTGTATGTGTAATCCACATTTCTTTACACTTTAACTATTGATTTTCTAGGTAAATATATATGTATAATTACTTTTGTTATTGCACTTTGCTAATTCATATAAAGATGACTTTTATCATTTCAGGCTGATATTGGTCTTGTTAACATCATATTGTTCAACTATGCATATTCCTAACAGTATGCTTCATTAAAATGTATAAACAGATGTCCATACATCCTAGAGATATTCTATTGCCTGCTGTCTAGTGTGCCATCTAACATAAAGGATATTAGGTATGTCATAGCACTATTTATTGTCACAAACATTTCCAGAACCAGACATTCGGAATGTTACCATTAAGCAAATATTTTCTATACATATACAGTTAGTTTTGGTTCATTTTCTAGACATCAACTACATTTCCAGGTACTTGGCAGACTCAAATGCTCATGCATCATAGTCTGAGCACTAAGTTAGAAAATCATTGAGGATGACCATTTTCTTCTAAGGGCACAGTCCCTATAGTTAAAGTTGCTATTTCTTTGTATTTCTTTTTTTTAAAACCCATCTCTTTTCAATCATACATAGGTAAAGATCTATGAAATGTTAAGTTAGAAGGTAGTATTTACTTTGGACCCTGGTTGTATTAAAATATTTTATAGCAATATACTGTGTAGACTAGTTTGGGACAAGCTATATATAATCTCAGCTCTACTTCTATGGTCATAAATTTTCTGAAACAAAAAGTTGAAAAAAGCTGTCCAATTTAAGACTTCATAGAGGGAACTTACACATCCTCTACACTTAAAAATTGCAAGATCCTGTAGAAGTCTTTCTTGTACTAAGTATATACTTAGAAAATATTAAACTCAAATTGTCAAATGAAGTCTAATTTTGTATTTTACTCCAGTTAACTAAAGTTAAAAAGCATAAAAAGTGCAAGATACTAATTCAACAAGGCAAATCAGGCTTGAACCAGTTACTATAAATTCATTTTTAATTAATTGGCAATGCTAAAATATTTTACTTCTACAAGCTTCACAAGTTTTCTGTACAAACATGGATTTAAAGAAAAACTAAACAAACTCAGTTTCAAGAACTTGAACTCACCCCACAAAGAACCACAGCAGATCTCAGATGTGAACTCCTTGTCATACACATAGATTAGTGGCTTGTCACATGCTGGGGAGACATAGAGTGGGTTAACATTTACTTCAGATGGTAGATGAGGAGGTTTTTCAGGAACCTCAACAAATCCAGCATATACTGCAGAGGGAAAGGCATTGAGACAAATCACTGATCTATTTACTGAATTTGCCAAGTATTTCCATAATGAGAGGGCCCTTAAAGTTTGGTTTCTTTATCTTAGTTTTAGGAAATTCTTAACTAATTAGAAAATAGTGGTTAAATACATTGCCGAATATGGATGTGATGTCTGGTTTCGTTATATTGCAAAACCAATAATTGAATGAAGCACGCAATTTCAGTTGCTGGCCAAATTTAGTCACCATAAACATTCAGTGATAGCTGGGTGTGATAGCAAGGGCCTGTGTTCCCAGGAAGATGAGGAAGTCAGTGCCAGTAAGAGCTATAGAATGAGATCAATGCCATCCTGGTTACATGAGACTCCCAAAAATCTAAGGAAAAAAGAAATGATTTCACTGAGGAGTAATTTCAAAAATTATATATTATTTACTTATTTAGGCACATTTATTGTGGTTGGTTTTCTCCTTCCACCATGTGGGTCTAGGGGATTAAACTTGTTAGGTTGTTGGCAAATACAGTTACCTTCCAACTCATCTTGTCTGTCTGAGGAATACATTTCCTAAAAGCATTCATAGATCTCATTTCATATCAAATGTGCATTCAAATTGATCATTATACAGCATGAATTATTGTACAAGCAAGTAGAAGCATTCAGCATGAGAAGATGACACCAGAGATACTTACAGTTGGCGCTCTCAATGTCAATATCAGATGCAGACCCTCCGGAAGGTAAGTGGATGATAGGAAAACTCACAGTTGCTGATGATGCTGATATGTTATTGGGATTCTCACCATCAAGTGCGAGAGATGTGACATCCAAGGCAATTGAGTCTGAGGTCTCATCTGAATCCTATAAGGAAACCAAAGGCCATTTCTTAATATATTTGGTTAATAGCAGGAAAAAAATGCTATGGGTGAGTTGAAAAATTGAATGAAAAATCTGTAATACATACATCTGTACAACTCCATATTTATTAAATATATTCAAGTCTCATCAGAGAAATAAGTTATCATTGAGAGTATGAGGGGAGAAATAGAAGGAGCATCCAGTTAGTTGCCAAGTGTACAATTTCAGATCTAATATTTGTGGCAATATATGTATCTCTATGAACATTTACCATAACATGAAAAAGTAAATGGCATTGCCTCTGATTTTGCTACAAGGAAACAAAAACTTAGAGAAATTAAAAGTTTTCTGTATCAGAGAGCTGGTAAGTAGGGGATTTAAGGTTTGGAAGGAATCTAATCCCAAAACAGATATGCCAGATAACCACTTAGGGAAAAAAAAAATCACACTAGTTGGTTTAAGATATTTACAGAGCTGGGTCTCATGGCAAATGAACAAACTCCTGGCATGTGCAAGGCACTGGTCATGAGTCTTAGGCAAGTCTTGGCTGCATAGTAAATTCCAGGCTAACATGGGCCTACTGATATAGGCCCTGGCCCTAAAATTGTAAAACAACAACAACAACAACAACTAATACAAAACAAAACAATGAGAATACAAGAAAAAAAAAGATGTCTTAAGAACTGATAGTAAGAAGAACTGTGTGGGGTGTGGTTCAAACTATCAAACAAATGCTAGAAACCAAAAACACCAACTTACAACAATCCCAGAGAAAGCATATTTCACTATAAGTCTCTCATGCTTGTATTATTGGAATAAAACCTGCAGGCGTGACAATTCTATATGTGGTAAAATTATCAATTCTGTTGAGGTTATTGAAGGTCAAGGGAAGAATTAGGAGTTAATTAATTCTACCAGCCTAGATGTCTAACAGATTAATAGAAAAACAAAAGTGTGGTGTGAACATATACACAATGGAATTTATTCAGCCACAAAGGAAAATGAAGTAATTAAAATTTCACAATATGGATGGGTGTGGAAATTATTGTATTAATGGACAAAATTCTACTCAGAGAGAAACATACTTCTAGTTCTTTATGATAAACACACAGATCCTAGATTTTAGTGTGTGTGTGTGTGTGTGTGTGTGTGTGTGTGTGTGTGTAGTAGAGAACTAGAAGAGATCATCAGTGAGAGGGAGAAAGATTTTAATTAAGAAATAATAATGGGGGGAAATGGGTCAATAGAATACATGTGACATGAGTTGACTGGAGGGCAAAGGTACAGTTGAGGGGGCAGGAGGATGGAAGGAAGAGGAGGACTATCAAAAACAAAGTATATGTGGCAATGCTGTAATGAGGTCCATTATTTTATGTGCTATAAAATATAAATAAATATAAATATTGTAGAAGTCTAAAGTGCTAGAGATTTGAATATTTGGAAAATTTCAGTATGTATATTCTATGTCTATAAATAATATTACTTACCTAAGTATATTATCTTACTTAAAATAAATCATGTTCTTTTGTCCTTGGAAATATATAGTGAAGTATGTAGTGAATACCCCATGCACTTATTATTATATTATTTAAATTATTTCAGGTTTTGGGATACAAGAATATAATCAGTATTAAATAGCTCTAACATTACATATCATGTGCTGTTATACATTTACAAGAGAAGTATATTCTTATCTCCAAAGGCTTTATTACCATTTGTTCATGTTCAAAATCCTGAAGACTGTGTTGATCCAGTCCTGCACCATCTTCCTGTGAGAAAGCTTCTCCACTGTATCCACATGCTCCATCCTCTTCACGGATTCCTCTGTATCTGTTACCTCTATGTCCATCCTGGCCTCCAAAGGCAGCACCAGCATTCCCTTCAGCACCTCTATAGGCTCTGAACGCTCCCTGTTGTGCATTACTTCCACCACTACCAACTCGCTTCAATATTCCCTGCCTGTGATGGCTTGCCCTGTTAACAAGGACATATTAATGAAAGAAGGCTAATCAATAAAAACACAAATCAAGGCCAGAAAGTGAAAGAGAAATCAGATTTTATATACACACATGGAGACCCAAATATGTTATGCTCAGGAATGACTTTGCTTTTTGTGAATGCTTTTAGTTTTATATACACATGAAAAATTCCTCAATGCTTTGCCAGTATTACATACTGAATTAACATGATAGTCCCTGTCAAGCCTTTGTTATCATGATGGTGACAGGAAAAAGAACTGTACTTTGTTATTAGGTATATGTGACTGGCTAGTGTAGAAAATACTCATTTTTCTTAAATAACTAAATAATTTATGAATAAATTCTAGTCATATTAATGATCAAACCCATAGTGATATTAGAATATTTTTAGTAATCTAGATTCTGTCAATTTTAATATATGCTTTCATTTATTTACATGTATACCAACAGCTCTGCTATAGACCCTTGGTCAATATTCTCACCAGAATATGTTAGAGAACAATTAAGCTAATCACATAATCAGGGTTCATAAATATATGTTCTAAAAATGCCCAATACTTAATTTTGCATGGAAGACAATATTGAACATATGTTCCTATGGTGATCATAAATTAAAATCTGTATGGAAATGTAATTCTTTATAGATATGTCTTCTATTTTGGGAAAAAGATCTTTTGATAACTTCTCTACCAATTAAACGAATAAACATTATTCTAAATTGATGATATATATGGCAAAATCTCAACTCTCTGTGAAATTCTTAGCTATTCTTTCAGATAGTAGTATAATACTTCATTTTGTACCTCTTTTCTCATTGTCATTTTGTTGGGAAGGGGGATTTAGTGGAATTAATTTTAAGAGAAACACTCAATCTCAGTTATCAATAAACTAATAAATAACTGAATTTAAATTGTATGTAAATAACTCAGAATTATGTGTTCTATATTAGAAAAATTTGAAATTATATTACTGAACATTTACCTATATGTAAGTGCAATTCATGAATTCTTTTAATGTTATGTTACATTTAAAAATAAACCAAATAATTCAATAGTTCTGAACTTATAAGCCATCTATCTGATAATAATAGAGACAAACTAACCTTGGCCTATTAGTTCCAGCATCAAAATTATCACGTCTGTCACGACCAGATCCATCTTCATAGTCACCTTCATCACGGACTTTATAGGCATTTGCCTGATCAACCTGATTATTCCAGTCATAATGGCCATTGACACGGTCATAGATATCTTCATCGTTAGAAGCTTCCTCATCATCATCATCATCATCATCATCATCATAATTATTAGCACCAGCATCATAGAGTTCAACATAATCACCATCTTCTTCAGGTGGCTGAATGACAGGTGCATGTGGAATTAACCAATCATCCCAGAAGATTTCAGAGAGTGCATTATAGCCTACCCATTCATTTGTCAAGTATACAGGGGGTGATATTTTTCCCACTTTAAATCCATCTGGAACCTGTGTACACAAGAAAGGTTAAGGTAGTCTCTAATAGCTTCTCATTTTCTTTAGATATTCCAAGTTTCCAAAATGACAACATTTAAAAACATGTTAAAATTATATTCTTTACTGAAACAAAGATGTCCACAAAGAGAAAATATTTTAGTGAAGATGAGTTGCCCAAATCCAAACATTAGTAATTAGTAGTGGGCTTTGTAGATCACACAGCAATTTTACTCACTGTTTTATTAACCCTACTTGCCTTTGAGAAATAGACATTTGCTTTTGATGATGGACAGTACGCTTTAGACAAAGTGTGTGTTTTTCTTTTGTTTTATTCAAACACTGAGATTAAGGTACAGCTCTTGAAATAGATAGGGTATTTTTCCAGTTTCGTCTGCACATGCCATATATTATCTTAAATTACTTCAAATGCCTCCAAAAAGCAAATGAATACAAACCTTATTCTTACATTACATGTACATGCACATGATAGAGTAAGTGTAGTATGAAAATAAAATATAATGATCTTAAAGCATATTGCAAAAGTTTAGGGAAGCCTTTTACTTATATAATCAGAGGACAATATTTTAGACAAATATTTTGTCTCATTATCTAAGGAACACTATTAAACAACAGTAGAAAATTTAACTTACACATCTTGACCACAGCTTAGTTTTTAGATGTATCTGTTTGTCAATATTCATTCCTACACATTCTATCTCTATTTTGTGCGATACTGGGATTGAGTATACTAGGCAAGCACTGTGCCAACAGACTATATTCTCAACACCTGTCATCAATACATTCTGATAAAATTGGGAAAATACAATATTGTCTGATTAGAGAAGTGCTTTTTTTCCTCATTTCATTTTCAAATTCAAAATTTTATATTCTGAATACTTGCCCAACAATGTGATCTTTGTAAGTAAAAACTAATACAGCACATTTAAATTCTTTTCCTCCTCCATTTAAAAGTATTCTCTGTGTAAGTGTTTGCTTGTACACATATATGTGTACCTTGTGCCTTCCTGGTGCATACACAGGCCAGAATAGGGTGTTTAATTTTCTGGAACTGGACTTGCAGGTGATTATGAGTCACCATATTCATTCTGGAAAATACACCCTTGTCTTCTGAAACAGAAACAAGTGCTGTGCCATCTGTCCATGCCTAGCCTCTGTGTTTTAAGATCAGAAACAATTGGCCAAAGCAAACTAGTATTAAAAATATATATAAATGCATCATGAGATAAACCTACATGGATGTCAATCAGTAACTTCTGATCAATAGTAGAATAAGGCGGTGATGATTGGGACCTCCTTCTAGTCACAGGACTCTCCTCCTCAGAAGATGATTCTATGGATTGTCAAAAAGGACATTAGTAACAGCAGCAATTTTATAATTACTTCAGTTTGTGTAGTGGGTCAATTAAATAACTTATTGTTTTTTCTTTTAGCCTTTGTTATCATAATATGGGAATATCTCCTCATATTAAAACCTATAGTGTCTGTGATCCTGATTTCTGCTTTCAAGGATACTACCAGGCTCAGGTATTATTGTTCATATTGTAGACCTAAAGACATTTTTGTCTTCAATATTTAGTGTACATATGATAAATCCATCAACCTCCCAAGATATAACCAAGTTATGAATTCCCAAATATTTTAATAAAGATGAAAAGTGAACTAATCAAAATCATAAAACTTAACTGTGGAAACTTAACAGCTGGAAACTTTATAATAATTTGTGAAACAACTTTCTAAAAGTGATGGAAGTATTCCATGTCTGTTTGGCTATGAACATTTGAGAGTACTGAATATTAACCTCTGGACCACCAGAGTAGCTACTGATTAATTACATAGAAATAGGCTGTTAAAATGTTTATTTAATTTTTGTTTTAGTTTTCACTTCGATAATCACATGTAGCCTAGATGGTTACTGTCACATGAAATAGTACAATTCCATTATGATAACATTTCTATTTAAAATAAAATTCAGTGTGTAAGTACAGGTTTTGAAAACTCTTATGTGGTAAATAACAAGTTGCATTAGAAATTCAGTGAGAATATTTAATAGGCTTAGAAATAAGTGTAGCCTAGATTTCCCAAAAGAATACTGGACTCATATTTATTTCTAGGGATATTAAGTATAAATACTACTGCCCTCCTTTTATCTGCAACTTAACTATATTAGTCAAAGTCTAGATACTACAGATTGAAAACCCTGCATTTGTAATGCTGCTATCTTTTGAGAATGTTATACCTCATGTCCTAGAATGAGCATTCTTGACTTCTAGGGTTGTAATGTTGATATTTATTTTTTTCAGGAAGTAATTCAAGTCTTTTAGAGAGGAAATAGAGTGATTATAAAGGTTGATTTCTCTGGCACATTGACAATGAGGTGATTTCCTCTCCAAGGAAGCCAATCTGCTGGGAATCTCAGGTGCTCTGTGTCATACATGTGACAGTCTCAGCCCTAAATGTTTAGCACTTATTTGCAGAAAGAATGCTGCTTCCTTCTGTCAGTGGTGATGGATTATTTTATTTCAGAAAGGCAAGTGATTGAACTGTAAAACTGATGTGTTTGCCATGTACTAGCAAATTTATATCTGACCAAACTAGAATGAAAACATTTTGGGGGAAAAAGTTAGCAATTTCAATATTTGGTTTTCCATATCTCTTATACATAAGCATTTAGCAAAAATTCATATGCTACATTTTTATAAATATACTTAGGGCCTGGTCAGCAAACGCCCTCTAATTAAACTTATGTTGTTTGCTTAAAACTGAAAAAAAGGCAAATTTTATGACTTAATGCACAATTTTTGGATTTTCCTTATGTCTAAAAATGCATAACAAATTTAAAGTCTATTAAATGCACAACGCCACTAAAATACTTGATTGAAACTGACACCAAAATTTGAGAAGCACTCTTGTCATTACTTGATCAATTAATTTTTCATGTATTTTTGAAGATAGCCAATGGTTTGTAGCATTTAAGAAATATTTATGTGATATTGTGTATACCATATTTTGGAGAGGTGAGATAAAATCACAAGTAAAACTGTCACAATTATTCTACTTATATTGTAAAGGAAGCCTAATAAATTTTGGCTAGTCAAAAAATAATCTCTCAAGTTCTTTAATATATTATTTCATGTTTTATAGGTACTAAATGAAAGGTCACTTTCTATTTCTCAGAGGTCACCACTCATCACTCAAATACCAATTCAAATCTACTGCTCGTCTTAATACTGCCTGGCATCTTTAATAGGTTTCATTCATTCTGTCTCAAAACTCTTCCTTACTTCTGAAATATAAGCTGTTAAGTATTAGGCCTATGTATGATTTTTCTAACTTTAAGTTTCGAATCACCTGCTGCTCCTTGATAATTGTGAACATTGAGGGAACTCCTATGTCTGACGTCCATCGGCTGATGATCTTCAAAAATAGGTCTCTCAGAGACACTACAGTGATAAAGAGACAAAGGGTTTAATGAAGAAATGCATATAATCATGATAAGCATACTGTGCTGTTCCTTCATCTCTTAAAACCATCTCTGAAAGAAAACCAAAGCAAATCAAACCAAAGAAAAGACATGAACACATGTGACACATTCTAAAATGATAGAATATATACAACTCATCACAGAATGATTTTCTTAAAACTCTATTATATATAGCAATGGAAAAAAACTGGAGCTTGTATGTTATTTTCCAATTTTAGTTTCCCAAACCTATTTTATCTACAATAAACAGTTTCCACATAAAGGAAAGCACATTTCAATATAGTATGCATTCCCTTCACATAATACACTTTCTCCAGTGTTCAAAGCAATAGTCAGATAAAATTACCCAGATAACATCAGAAAACAAAATCTAGTGCATAATAGAGTTTTTTTATTTTACATGTTGATCCCTGTTCTCCCTCCCTCCCTCCCTCCCTGTTACCCTCTCTCTCCTCACATGCACCCTGACCAACCTCCCCTCGATCTCCCTGCCCCCATTTCACATCTAGGGTAATGCCATCCAGGTGGGGTCATGTAAATCTTTCAAGGCATTTAAAGTAGGAACTAGGACTTCTCTCCTGTCTCTAGGTTAACAGAGTGTCCCTTCATGGGGGATATGTCCACAAGGTCCTTTTGTACACCAGGAATACATCCTGGTTCCAATGTCTGAGGTCCCTTAGACTGCTCAGTCCTAGCTGAGACCCATGTTCAGGGGGTCTGAGTCAGTCCCATGCTGGATTCCCTGATATCAGTCTGGGGGCCCGTTAGCTCCTCCTTGTTCAGGTCATCTGTCTTTATGTGTTTCTGCAACCTGGTCTTGTCCTCTCTCTCTGCATCTGGTTTCTAGTTCAACTCAATGTTTAGTTATGGGTGTTTGCTTCTGTTTCCAACAGGTACTAGATGAGGCTCCATGATGGTGGATAAGTTAGTTGTTGATCTCACTATCAGGGAAGGGCATTTATGGTAGCCTTTCCATGGTTGCTCAAATTGTTAGTTGGAGTCAGTCATGTAGGTCTCTAGACCTTTCTGTAGGTTCATTTTTCTCTTCAAACCAATAATGGCTCCCTCTTTTATGTGTTCTCTCTCTCTCTCTCTCTCTCTCTGTCACTCTCTCTCTCTCTTGCCTTCTATTCCTTCCCTGACTCAATCTTCCTAGTCGCATGTGCTTTCCTCTCCTCCCCTTCTCTTTCTCCTAGTTCTCTCTCTATTTGCTGCCCCCCACTTCCCATGTTCTCTGGGGGAACATAATAGAGTTTTAACATGGAAAATACAGAGTATTTTACAACAAGTGTTCCTGCCCATAATTCACATTTTTAATAAATTGTTCCTGATTTGAATAGGTAAGATTTTGGATATATGTATATTGATTTTCAAATGCCACTGTAGATAATTTTATTTGCTTTTGGTTTCCTATCTAGGAATGAGTTCCTTTGTTAATTCAATTATAACAGACAAAAGGCATTAGTATGACCCACCATTTCAGAAGAAACTCAATATTTATTTACACTGATTTTATAAATTTATTTTTTGTTTGTGAGTCCATTACAGCTTCATGCATTTTATAAATTTACAGAAAATGTATTTGTTATTAATCAGTTACAAATTGGTTTGTAAAGTTACCAATCACTCTCAAATTAACATTAAGTTTAGATGTTATATACTGAATTATATTAAGATTATGTTCAATGGCACTTAAATTTATTCACAGCTAACCTGGTTTCTTCTTTGATGTTACCATGGTGACTCAGGCATGGAGTGTAGAGAAAAAGAGTTCTCAATCTTACTTTCTAGTTTTCAGAGTTTCTCCCTCAGACTTTGTGGGAAGATATAGTCATAGAACTTAAAAAAATGTTGTATGGTTTTGATTATTATGGATGAACTCGTTGTCATCTATCCATACTTTGCAGTCTCTTTAATTTTAAATTTTATTTCATTTGTATTTTTTGTGAACCTTTTATTATAGTATATGATGAGTATATAAGTAGTAAAATCCAAAATAATTTACTTAGGGGCAAAATTTTTTGGAACACTGATTATGACATACATTTTCTGTGTGTGTGTGTGTGTGTGTGTGTGTGTGTGTGTGTGTGTGTGTGTGTGTGTGTACATGCACCTGGAAATGAAAATATTTCATGTCACATATGTGGAAGTCATAGGGACAACTTGTGAAATTTCACTCTCTCTGACTATGTGGGTTATGGGAACTGAACTCAGTCCATTAGGCATGACACAATGTTTTTTGCTCACCTGCCCCTACCCCAGACACCTCACTGTCACTGTCTAATGATATACAAAATAGTCAATAAGTATTTACTGAATGTCATACTGAACAAAGGCTTCATTGTGAGTTTGGTACATTTTAAAATTGTTACTCACATCTAATGTATGTCACAGAACACCTGACTTATGGAACACGATCTTTGGAAACCACCCAGCAAAAACTTTTTTTTTTTACCTCAGTTACTTACAAATAATTTGAAAATGGAAACACATACCTTGAAGAAAATGTCACACGGTGTTTACGATTCCGGTTGCAAGGCATAGAAGCAGATCTCTCGTGGACCTTAAAGATGCAATCCAATAAATAGTTTGATAAAGTTCTTGACCATAAATTCTTTGTGTTACTAATTGATTTGAAATTTACTTTCTTCACATATAGTTTCATACAGATTCAATGCAATCCCCATCAAAATCCCAGCACAATTCTTCATTGACTTTGAAAGAAAAATACTCAACTTTATATGAAAAAAAAAAAAAAAACCCAGGATAGCCAAAACAACCCTGTCCAATAAAAGAACTTCTGGAGGCATCACCATCCCTGACTTCAAGATTTACTATAGAGCAAAAGTAATGAAAACAGCCTGGTATTAGCACAAAAACAGACAGGTAGACCAATAGATTCAAATTGAAAACCCTGATATTAATCCACACACCTTTGAACACCTAATTTTTGACAAAGAAGCTAAACTGATACAATGGAAAAAAGAAAGCATTTTCAACAAATGGTGCTGTCAAAACTGGATAGTGACATGTAGAAGATTACACATAGATCCTTATCTATCACCATGCACAAAACTAAAGTTCAAATGTATCAAAGACCTCAACATGAACCCAGCCACAGTGAATCTCTTAGAAGAGAAAGTGGTAGGTACCCTTGTACAAATTGGTACAGGAGATCACTGCAAGAACCTAACTCCAATAGCACAGCCACTGAGACTGACAATTAACAAATGCGACCTCCTGAAATTGAGAAGCTTCTGTAAGGCAAGGGACAGTCACCAATACAAAATGGCAGCCTGCATACTGGGAAAAGATCTTCACTAACCCTACATCTGACAGAGGGCTGATTTCCAAAATATACACAGAACTCAAGAAGCCAGTGACCAGACCACCAAACAATCCAGTTAAAAAGTAGGGTACAGAACTGAATAGAGAATTCTCAATAGAGGAATCTAAAATGGCTGAAACACACTTAAAAAAGTGCTCAATATCCTTGGCCATCACAGAAATGCAAATCAAAACAACTCTGAGCTACCATCTTGCACCTGTCAGAATGGCTAAAATGAAAATCACCAACGACAGTCCATGCTGGAGAGGATGTGGAGAAAGGGGAACACTCCTCCACTGCTGGTGGGAGTGCAAATTTGTGCAGCCACTTTAGAAATCAGTATGGTGGTTCCTTGGGAAAATAGGAATCAATCAGTCTACCTCAAGATCCAGAAATTCTACCCTTGGGCAAATACCAAAAGAATGCACATTCATACAACAAGGACATACTTTCAACTATGTTTATACAGCATTGTTTGTAATAGCCAGAATCTGGAAATAACTTAGATGTTCATCATCCGAAGAATGGATGGAAAAAATGTGGTATATTTACACAATGGGTATTACTCAGCAGAAACAAAACAATGAAATCTTTAAATATGCAGGCATATGGATGGAACTGGAAGAAACCATCCCGAGTGAGGTAACCTAGCAGCCACAGAAAGACAAGCATGGTATGTACTCACTTGTATATAGATATCAGACATAGAGAAAAGGACACCCAGGCTACAATCCATACCTCCAGAGAAATGAGGAAACAAGGAGAACCCTAAAAGAGACATACATTGTCTCTGGAGAAGGGGACAAGGACAAGAACTCCTGAGCAAATTGAGAACACAGGAGGGCAGAGAAGGGGAAAGAGGAGGGGGGCAGAGAACATGAGGGGTCAGGAAAACTGAGTAGGGAGAGGAATGGAAGAGAACAAGAAAAAGATACCTTAATAGAGGGAGCCAGTATAGGTTTAAAGATAAATCTGACATTAGGGAAATGTATAGAGATCCACAATGATGACCTCAGTTAAGATTCTAGGCAGTAGAGGAGAGGATACCTTAAATGTCCTTCCCCTATAATGAGATTGATGACCATCTGAATTGTCATCCTAGAGCCTTTATCCAGTAGCTGATGGAAGCAGAAGCAGATACCCACAGCTAAACACTGAGCCATACTCCTGGAATCCACTCGTAGAAAGGGAGTATGTATGAGCAAATGGATCAAGACTGTGTTGGAGAAATCCACAGAATCAGCTGACCTGACCAAGTTTGAGCACACTGACACCAGTCGTAAAGCTGGGAAACCAGCATTGGACCAAACCAAGCCCTCTGAATGTGGGTGCCAGTTAGGAGGTCTGGGCAGTCTATGGGACCTCTAACAGTAGAACCAATATTTATCCCTACTGCACAAATGGTCCTTGGGAACCCCATTTCCTATGGAGGGATACTATTTCAGCCCAAGGAGGACCAAGGCCCTCCTCCAAATTATGTGACAGACTTTGATGATCCCCTATGGAAGGCCTCACCGTCCTTGCAGAGTGGGTGGGTGATGGGATGGGGGGTGAGTTTGGTGGGGGGGGGAATGGGAGGATGGGAGGGAAAGGGAACTTTGATTTATATGTAAGATAAGATTGTTTCTAAATTAAATAAATGAAAAGACAAGGATTAATATGAATTGACATTCTTTGGTATGGAAAATGGGGGATGGAAAACAATTAGTTAGATTGCATATATTACATTCTAAACCAAATATTGCTAATTCACTGCATGTTTTGCTTAGTGTCAAGCTAAATGTAATGCTTACCATCTGAGAATACAGGCAAAGCCAAGTGTTAAACATGGCAGCAAGGGAGACATTATTGATTTATTTTAATTAACTGTCATAATCCCACTTATATTCCTTCTATAAATACTTGGTATTTATAAAAAATAATCTTAACTAGTCAATCAAGGATTTAGTATCAAAGAAACTATATTCCAAAAGTCTTGAAAAAAATTCATAGTAGAATTCCTTGAGGTATCTTATGCTGATTAAGTACAATGATGCGACTCCTAAACCACCATCACCAGATGAACATTAGTGTTATTTATTTTCAGTGACCAAAAGGAATTTGGAATGTTGGCTGTTAGGAACACAAGTCTTGATAATGCTACCATGTCTTTATAATAAGTAAACTCACAATGTCAGTCTCACAAATATGTGTTAAGAATACTGCATTATTTGATGTAGTCATCAAAACAGAAGTCATTCTAACATGTAATCACTTAAATTTTTGTGTGAGAGAAAATGAGTCATAGATTAACTGAGTCAGATTTGTGATAAATAGTATAGCAGAAAGGGACAAAATCAAGGTAAGGGATGGCATGTGGTTATGTTGCACAGTGAACTACCCACATTTTGATATGAAATGGTATATTTAAAAAAAACACTGAAAAGCATTCTTACTTGAGCTATGTGCATATGCTAGATATTTTCAATGAAATAAGTTTGCAAACCTAAGAAAAATAAAAGTGATGCCATTTTCCAGCAATGACAAAAACATGAGCTTTCAAGGGAGAAGTAGAAATTATAAATTGGTATCTGGTCCTGAGTAGTTGACAGCTTAAGAATACCCAGTTACATATATGGTAAAATTGGTAGTGATGTTAAAAAGTGCTGTTTTTATATTGTAAAATGGAATGTAAACTTTTGGGAAAATCTGTATACCCAGTGAACTAATATTTTCCAATTGATGAATACATGAATTTGGAAATAATATATAAGTAAAATATCTATCCATAGTATAAGAAAAGGCAATGGATTGTAATGGATTGTAATATCATTAGTTACACAAAATTTTATGAATGTAATTTTAGACTCTATTTGTCTAGTTTGGGCATACTACCAAAGAATATGCGTAAGTATCTGAACGAAAATCTACAACAGTCACAATTATCTGAAAATTTTACACAAAATTTCCCTTTCTAGACATCTATGAGTAACAAGCCAGGCCTTACACAAAAATTTCTAACAAAACACCATATGGCCACAGATTGAATTATGAAGTAGATATGAATCCAGCTGTTTTCTATTAAGCAAGACAGATTAAAAGAATCTGAAAATATGAGACAATGACATCCCTATAATAATATTTTGGGTAAGATACTTTTTATTTGTATTTATTTATCGTGTTAAATATATTTGTACCTTTTTGGTTTTAATTTTCAGTAAGTTAGTGAATGACATAATGAAAAAGCTTTACAAAAGTCTCAATATTTAGGATTTAAAGGGATCCTGAGAACCTTAAGTTTAAGAGGCACTTTTCTAGGTACTTATTAATGTCAAAACAACTCATTGAGAAATTTACCTCATTTCCTGTAGGATTTGGAGCGTATGGTTCTATTTGGGCTTCAGCCTGTATAGAACGAAACACTTCATCATTGTCTGATGAGTCATCTTCTTTATTCTTTAAAACAAAAATCACATAAATATTTAAATGACTGTGAGAGTGAAAGTGATAGGAATAACAGAATCATCTTAATTTGTAACCAGAATGAGTAATTTACAAATATTTATATATTATTTAAATGAGTAGCTTTTAACAGTGTTTGGTTAGAGACCCCTTTTGAAACTGAGAAAAGGTACCAATTGGACACAGAAAACTGCATATAGACAAGCGCATTCACATAGATTTTCAGGGAAACGGTTGCGTTTCTGAAGCTTTTCTATGGGTTCCAAATTAAGAGTCTGATTTAATGCTTGATTAGCACTTAATCACAACCTAACTTTCATATTTGGAGAGCTGTTATAACTCCAACATTTGGTTCTGAGTAGAGGAAGATCTGTGGTACAGGGGTGCAAATATTCCTCCTAAATTAAGCTCTCAGAGTTAAGAAATTTTTCAATCAAATGAATCAACCACTATTATCTCTTCCAATTATAAGGAAAATGTATGCACTTTTTGTCACTAGTATGGCAAGGCACTCAGACATGTTTCTAAATTCCAATTAAATTTCATATCTTTCTAAAGAAATACAACTTTGTCTTTAGTATGAAGAATTATATTTCCTTTAAGTTGATTTTAAGGAATACATATAAAGATATGAATGCCTATGTAAGAACCTAGTCTCATAGGATGGTAACAATTGTTCACTGACTTGGTTACATTTTGAAATAGCTTTGTATGTATGTATGTATGTATGTATGTATGTATGTATGTATGTATCTTGGATATTCACACACACACACACACATCCAAAACAATGGCAATATGTTCTCTGCTGCTAATATTAGGCATATTTAATAATATATAAAAGTCTTGTTCATGAATGCAAATCCCATTAGCTCTAAATGGTTAAGAGACTTCATTGAGAATATTCATTAGCATATTAAATGCCTTAATACCTACCACGCATTGCCATTTCAGACTCATCTCTCCCCTTCTGCATATCTCTATATTCTAGGAGTGATGACATCCATTTCCCCTTTTTAAGTCATTTTTGTAAAAAAATCTTTTCTCATGTAAATGAGGCAAGGAATTATCACTTGTTTAATTGGTTTACTGTGCACACACCTAAATAATTACTTATCTAGATACTCAGGCAAGGTTCATTTATAATTACTACATCAGTTATTATTTAAATGGATCTGGTTAACTGTTTAATCATCATATAACAATTCCTTTTGCATAAATGAATACTAAAAAATATTAGAAAACAACTACTCTAAATTTTCCTGACCTTACAAATTTGTTTATCAGACCTATAAACTATTCATTATCAGATTAGTATTTTCAGATAAAAGTTAACAAGGCCTGTCAAATTTTATCCTCCTCCATATGAGAGTTTGGATATAGTGAAGTTTTATTTTCTGATCCTCAATGAGAAGTTAGTGTCTACTTGTTTCCTGTCTGTGCAGGCAAGTCATTGAATAATTGCCTAAAAACATGGGAGTATTAAGAACACAAGTTGTAATTATGGCAACTATACACAAAAAGTGCTTTGAAAAATGGTTCTGTTGTCATTTTAAAAAGATTTAGTTTTATTTTATTTTATTTGTACATATACTTTTGGCATCATGTATAGAAGGTATCAGATCCCTTGGAACTGGAGTTGTTACATGTCATGTGACACTGGGAACTGAACCTGAGACCTCTGAATGAGCAAGTGTTCTTAATCTTTGAGACATCTCTCTAGCCCTGGCTTAGTTTTTCTTATTTTAATCTCAATTGAAAGGTACCAAGGTACAAATAAATTCAATTCACAGAATGTCCTCATTCTATGGCAAGATACAATAAGCAACTTCAAATTAAAAGAAAATTATTTTATTTTTGTGTTACATGCCTACTCTAACTCATATGCACCACAGGTGTGCAGAAGCCATGGAAGACAGAAGGTTACTGGCAGTTATGAGCTTCCGTGTGGGGTTCTGGGAACTAAACTTGTGTTCACTTCAGGAATAGTAAATTTTCTCATCTGCTGAGCCATCTCTCTGTAAGCCCAGAAAGTTACATTTTATAGGAATTAAAGTGGAGGCAACTTTGGAATTTTAAAATAGGAATGTTTCAAGAGTCAAAATAATTATTTTATGTGTTTGTATGCCATCCCTTTACTGGTTAAAGGAGTAACAGGTAAAAGCCAAACAATCCCCTAATAATTAAGGTACAACTCTTGCAGAGATACATTAAAGCATTACTTGTATTATTAAAGCAATTTCTCCTCTTTTGATGACAATTATCTGGAGATTTCAGAATGACTCATTTGATGTGCAAATTAATCAATATCTGGTAGAGCCTAGGCTATCCATCCATTGTGCTTCACAGAGAAAAATACAAGCATTAACTAACACACTTTAATAGTTTTCGCTCAGGAGAAATATCAACATCTCTTACATTTCCAACTTGTCTCAATTCCTCTTCGTGCTGATTAAAGATTTCCTCCCATCTACGCTGGCGCCGTCTCCTGCTGGTTTCTAAGTCTGAAAATTCAAACTCCTCAATTCTCCATAAAGACTTTGCCCTGAACCTCCTGGGTGATAGTCTTTTCGCCAGTGCTTGCCTTAGACTAGAAATTCTTGACTTTTTCTTCTGTGTCTGTTCTGGTTCAGTGTAAAACTCATTGATCGACAAATTTTCCATCAAGATTTGCAGCGGACCAAGTGGTTTTGAGATACAGGCATTTGGTGCTTGAAGCAAGTCCCTTGATAATCCCTCTATCAGTGCTTGAATTGCACCGACAGCCTGTGAGACCTCTGGAGCCCAGGCCTGTGCTTGAGGTGACTCTTCACTTGGTTCCCCTACTGGAATTAGCACCTGTGTGTCCAGGTGAAGAGGCAAGAGCACATGATGGTTCTGTGACAATAAAGGCAGGAACACCTGGGCATGTACTTGTATAACCTCAGGTTCCTTATTCTCAACCTCAGCTTGTGGAGGCTCCACAGCCGGTTCTTGCACCTCTGGCTGCTCAGGTGCCCTATTCTGCTCCGGATCCTGCTCAGGAACTTGATTCTGCCCCTGCTGTTGTTCAGCAGCCTGGCCTTGCCTTTGCTGTTCAGGTGCTCTATCTTGCCCCTGAAATTCTTCTGGTACCTGGTCTAGATCTTCAGGCTGCCCTGTTTCTAATGCCTCAGACTGGGCCTGCTGCTCTTTGGGTATGGGGACCTGTACCTCTAAAGGACTAGGTTCTATATCCTGAGTAGGGAATGGCATGAACACTCGTACCCGGGCTGTTCTACTTAGGCTGGGAGGTTCCTGAATCTGAACTAATACAGGTGAAGTTGCCTTAGCCAGAGCCTGTAGTGGCTTGAACACCTGAGCTGCTTCTTGTAGCCACTGTGATGCCTGAGCCTGCATCTGTACAGGCCCAGGTGTATTGTCCTCAGCATGTAGAGGCATGAACTCTCCAGCTTCCCCCTGCAGTTGCTGAAGTGCTTCGAGTTGTGGCTCTTCTGGATCAGGTAACCACCTTGGCTGAGGGGGTTCTCCAGTCAGGACTTTAAGAGGTCTACAAGTGCTGTTAGTTGGCAGTCTCAGAAGTTCATGAGAGCAAGCAAGTTCTCTAAAATAAACACACAGATGATTGCCATATAATGAGAGTTTTCAGTGGAATTAGGTCATACATGAGAATTAGTTTTTAAAAGATACAGCCTCCCCTACAAAGATAGCAAATGATTATGTAGTAATTCTTGCTATGTCTGAAACAGCCTGTAGGTAATATGTGCAATGCTAATGGATTAAATCATTAATGTGGGCTGGTATTCCACTTGATAATTCTGTTGATATATATGAAGTCATTTTGGAATAGTAACAAAAACAATCAATATTTTCACACAATATCTCATAAAAAACAGAAGTCCTTTGGGATTTTATTTTTGGCTTGTTGTTTCATACCAGAAAAGATAAAATTGACTTGAGCAGAAGGCAGTAGTAGTAAAGCTATTTTCTTAGGTAAAATGCTGCTATCTAATTATAATATCCAGTTTTCCCAACACACCTGAATCTCCTTGGGATGTTCTGTTGCTGAATAGCTGCTTCTCTTTCAAAGACCAGAGGTATGCCTTATGAAAAAGAGAAAAAAAAATTGCATAAATTGAGTGTGATTCTCCTTAGTCACTTAGCAGCTTCTAAGGCCCAGGAAGTAGAGTACATCCACACAGGTAACACAGTAACAAGTAAGCCAGCTTTTCAAACATACTTTGTTGCTGCTGTCAACGCTCAGGGTATACTTTTGAAACAAGTAGAAATAGTTCAGGCAGATTAGTTTATCTGGACACAAGAAAGAAATTTTTAACAATCGGATTGTTGCAGTTCTAAATAAATAAAAGGCAGAATAGAATAAAGGTATAGGGAGGGACAAGAAATTAAATGCAGAAAGTTCTAGGACATAAAGAAATTTAAGCTTCCTGAGTATTTTCTCCTACATTGAGTAAAATCATCTTGTCACTTTTGGCATCAGTAAGTGAAAGCTCACCTTTGTGTACATAAATTAGCTTCTTTAATTATGTGTTTGTGACTAATTCATAGAATTAACTTCACATGATATATACAAATTATTTCAAAACTAAGTCATAAAATGTGCAATTATGAACACATTTATTTCCAAAGACTTGGTTAAATTTCTTTAGTTAGAAGTTTACTTAAAATAATATATCCACAATACATAATTCTATTTAATCTGAGGTTTAAGTCTTGCAAATGTGAATACTTTATAGGTATAGTAGGAAAAAATACATAACCTCATAGATAAATGATCACAAATGAGGTAATCATATGAATTAGTGGCATACAGCACTGAAAACACTACATGTCAAAAAGCTTTTGGCTTTTAACTTTCAGTGTGTGTGTGTGTGTGTGTGTGTGTGTGTGTGTGTGTGTGCGTGCACGAGTGAATGTGAGTGTGAATGTGTGTGATTACACAGGTCAGATGTGTCAGATCTACTTGAGGTGGAGCTAAAGATGGTTATGAGCCATCTGACAAGGGTACTGGGAACTGAAATCAGGATCTCTTCCCTGCTGAACCTCTCCAGCCCCAAGCAACTAAATTCTTAAATTCTTAAACAAATATGAAACTAAAAGCAACAAATAAATAAATAGAAGAGCCTAACTTATCTGAATTCTACAAAACTTTGTTGTCTCTACCTTTCTTCTGTCTCTTTTTAATGATTCCAGTAAGATGGCTTGTCAATGACTCCACAACATGCCGTTCATTTTTAATAGTCTGAACAAATGGGTGATGAAGCATATTTCCAGATGTAGGACGAAATAGGAAATTTTTTATCATGCACTTTTCCATGAAATTGAGGAACTTATGGGACCTGAAACAAATGAAGCACACAGATGAAAGACATTGTCACCTGCTGCACCGTTCCTCTGGAGCTGGAATGTTTTACTTTCTATAAACAATTATAGGCACATAGGCTTAACTATAATTCTAAATGAAGGTATTGATAACCAAGACAAACTAAGCTTCTAAAATAGCACATGAAAAGAGATACAGTCCAAAAGCTTATATCTATGTAGAGTCAAGTTCAGAAAAAATGCCAACAATGAAATAACACTTACACCTCTTACTAATCATAAACAAGTGTTTAACTGAATTAAACAGCTTCATAGAACAGAATTCTCATGGTTTCCTGGTCTGCAGAAATACAGAGGGAGTTCTTAAGGTCTATGGATGTTTAATTTAACTGGCCAACCAATAGAACTCTATATCTGAATTACCATCTGCATGTCAGAAATTTAGACATCCAAGTCAAGTTACTGGAATACAGGAAACGGTGTCCAACAGAAATGTTAAAACAAGAATGACCAAATGGATGAAAACTTTGTTATAAAATACTTAATCAATACATTTAAGAAATTCATGTTTACCATCCACTGGATTTGACTGTGGGAGCAGATTCCCGTAGAATAACGAAAAGGGCTTCCAGGGGCTGAAGGTTACAAAGAGCTGTTAAGGGAAACAGATGTATTTAGAAAAAAGTCAAAATGTGACTGCTGAGCCTACTGCTCATTCCATAGTCTCAGTGTTTCATTCACATATCCTGTTAAAAAGGCACTAAAAGATGAACAGATCCCAATAAATGTAGATCTACTAAAAGTAAATTTTGTTTTAATAAAAATATTACATTAAATCAGTGTCGCCATTACTAGGTCTAACAAATCAATTAAAAATGGGCTACTAAAAATATTTTACACAATATCTATAATGCAAAAATCAGGAAATATATGGTCCAGATGAAAGTAAACTGGCCTGGCACACAGGAGGAATTTTGTTCATATTCTGCTTTGCATCAAGCAGAAGATTTACATGATAAGAAAAAAAGGTGGAGGCTAAGAAGCACATCTCTTCAGCTTGTGGCTTATGGTGTTATGGTGTTTGAATGCTGCTATAAATCTTCCAGCCTCAGTATAAATGTTCCATATTACTTAAGTCCCCACCTACACCCTAATAACTAAAAGAGTCTGTGAAAGTCCAAAACTTCTGTTTTTTTATTGTTAATACACCCTCTTCCTGCTAAGACTTTCCTCTTCTTCTTCTCTGTTTCTCTGGGAGAGCCTGAGGTACAAAAGTTCAAAGGATGATAACTTTCTTACCTAAATATTGGAAGGCACCATCTGATAATTGTAGTTTTGGAAAACTATCCCCTCTGAGATGACAATTGCTGCAGTTAAATTGATGACTATGCAGAGTAAATACTCCAGGTAAAAACGGATAGTGGTGAAAGAAAAATTTTTGATAGGGAGGCTATCTAGATTACTTAGCATTAAACAATTTTCACTAATTATCTGGGAAGACAGCCTATCTCCTTGTGAGTTCAGAATCTCCTGGCCCTTACTCATCTTTCCAAAGAAGTTCACCATTTGCCATTTCTTTGCAAAATTCTTCTACCCTCCTATGTGTTCGCTCTTCAGTTCCCTTTTCATTCTGTTACTTAAAATAAGATTAGTGCCAACTACCACATCCTGAATTTGAAGAGATGGACAGAGAAATAGATATCAAAGGATAAGGTATAAAAAACAGAAAATAGTAAGATATTTATCACATACTTACATATGGTGATTCGTAACAAAAGCATTTGGTCATCACTGAAAACATGACCATTTATGATTTGGTACATAATTTGTCACATGTGTAATCAAATCAAAGTTAATTGTTCCAAGTTTCACATTATTTCTTTAGATGATAGATTGTACAGTATACTTGCACAATCTTTGAAATAGATCAACAATAATAAACATTTTTACTTACGAGGAGCCCCTTCAGCCATTTCGATAGCAGTGATTCCCACAGACCACACATCACTCTAAAAATGATAGCAAGAAAACCACTATTAACATGGAAAAATAGTATTAAGAATCTCAAAACCATTTGTGCTTCGATGGCCTATCTACGAGAGAGCCAATTCATGGGTTTTCTAGAATAAAGCTTCTTTAGAAACCGAAGCTACAGAAAGGCTTTATTTAAGTTTGTAACTAGCCAGTACCTCACTGTACCACAGGCTCATAAGGAATGATATTGGGTAAAAGTAGAGTTCATGCTGGGAGCATTTCTATTATTGCTACACTTTAAACATAAAAAGTAACATTTTTATTCAGAAATCTTAATCCATAGTATGCAATTTTGAGAAAGTAATTTAATTCTATGTATCTCAATTTCATTTAATGTAGGATGCTTTTTAATAGCACATATATATGAGTGTATGTGCATATATACACATGTCTTTATGATTTATCAGTTAAAAATTAATATATGAATTAGGCTACATATAAACTATATTTGCTGATATATTTTACATAAATTATTGGATATGTATTTCAATAGGTCCTGGAATATAATTGATTGAACCATGAATCATTATGAAGCTCTTATAAATTATCTTCATCATTATCAGATATACATGGTTTTTCAAAATATGAAAAAGGGGCTGAGATGGTTCAGTGCATAAGGACATTTATGCAAGCCTGCTGATGACTTCCATCCTCGGGATTAACATGGTGTAAGTCCGAATTGACTTCTACATGTTTTTCTTTGAACTCCTTTACACACACACAGCATGGAGGTGCATGAGCACGGATACCATACTTTGAAGACTGAAATTAATACCCATTATAAGTCACTGCGTCTTGCAATAAATGAGTGAAATAACTTTTTTCAATAGTCCTCATAGCTCCCAATGTAATGCAGAAAATGCAATAGGCTCTTGGTAAATAATTCCTTTACAGAATAAGCAAAGAACATCAGACAAAATGACAAAGAGATGAAATATACACTGATTAACTTCAAGTGTTGAGTTCTAAGTTCTACAGATAGTGAATTGTTTGGAAGATGTAGGATGTGGCAAAAGAGTGAGGTTGCTCTAGTTTTTAGCAAATGGGGAGTTTTGTTCCTTTCTATGTCGACTTTTTGGAATAGATATTTGTGTGTGTGTGTGTGTGTGTGTGTGTGTGTGTGTGTGTGTGTGTGTATATATATATATATATATATATATATATATATATATATATATGTGCATTTCAAATTAAAATTTCACTAGAAACATTAATATATACCACAACTTGTTAATTTGCCTATTCCACTGATTTTCTGTGGTTCTGGAGATGAGGCAAATGCCAAAGATTTTCACCAGTACTTCAAGGAATTATTTTTATTTTTGATTCTATAAGGATTAATTATTTGCCTTATATTTATTTTTTATGTGTGGAACTGGTCATTAAACTTAGGGCCCTGTGAATGTTCTACATACTAGCCACTATCATCAACACTATCTGTCACTCTTAATTTTGACACAGAGCCAACCTTAAACTCATTTTGTAGCTCAAGCAGGCTTAATACTCTTGCCTTAGCTGTCCAAGTATTTGGGATTACAGTCTTGATTCCCCAGTCCTGGCTTCATTTCACTGAATTTAGAAATTCCTCTCTTCTTGGAAATTAAATATCCAAATCTAAAATATTTTTATAAAGAAGCTGCCAGCAACTTTAGCTAGATATTCCCTCCTGAATCTGAAAAAGTGCCAATGTTCTACTTTGTCTTCATTATTAGAAAATGTCATTCTTATGCATACTATGAAACCACATATTGTAATAGAATCTACTATTTCTGATGAGACGGTGCTTAAAAGGAAGATCTCCTTTTATCATTAAAATAGACATAGTTGGTGCTAGAGAGATGGTGAAGTATTTAAGAGCACATGCTTAATCACGAAGACCTGGAGTCAGATACCAGCACTCATGGTCACCTGGTTGACAAATAATTATAACTTCAATTACAGGAAATTACTGCTGTTTCCTGTCCTCCATGGACACATGCACACACAAATGTGTGCATATACTCACACCGACACATACATACACAGAAATAAAATAAATCTTTAAATAATGAAATAAGACAAATACATTCAACTTCCTTTTTTCAAATTTGAATCCTCAGTCTGCACTATCATACTCACTCTGTAATCATAGGAGCGTCTTGGGTCCTCATCACAATGAATCACTTCAGGGGCCATCCAGTATGGTGTACCAATGAAGCTATTTCTCCTTCCTTTTGTTTTGCTCACTTGGGCACTCACACCAAAATCCACTACATATGTCAAAATAATTAATCAGGAACACAAATCTCAGTAAGTTATTGCTTTAACTTGGAAAGGCATTACAAAAGCCACAATGGATAACAAATTTTCTTTCTGGCCCAGAAAACTTTACCATGAAGTTTTCTCCAGAAATACTGGGAAATGAGCTTTAGCTTCTATTTATGTTGGAATGAGACCCAACAGTGCTGTTATAAATTTAATGTAGGTTTGGATAAATGTTTATCATGAATATTAAAAATAAAGCTCCACTGATTGCTAAAATGTGGCATATGGCATATGTTGAGCTTCGATCTGCCACCAAACTGGAGGATGAATAACACTATGCGCCACATCTTAGTAATGTAAATCCTGTTAACAGTTAGTTAGGAAGTCTCATGCATGACATCAGACACTCCAATCCTAATGATAAGGAAAAACGAGCTTCTTGAGAGAAGTTCACTAAGTATGCAAGCCTTCTGAATTAGGTAAAAATATTATCTGGACTATCTATATCTCAGTTTTGTGCTATAAAGTTTAGTTTCTCATTCATCTGTGGGGTATATTGTAAGAAAATATTTAGTATGGTATCCTGAGAAACAGAAAAGGGCTGAAGTAGACTGGGGTTATTAATTCCAAAAACAATAAGACAGGGATGAAATATGAAGTAGATTTTCAAATTTATAATGGTTTCTGGGAATCTGGAAGATGGTGAACAAAATAACTGAAAAGCAGCTTGAATAATTTAATGGAATCAAAGAAAAATGAAACAAAATTAATAGTTTAAGGGAATCTTTCAGAGAGTATCTAACAAAGGGGAATATTCCAAATTTTTGGTAGATCTTTAGTATCATTATCTACAATTTAAAAATATTTTTTTACATAATAGCTCAACATTCCCACTCCTTCTAATAGCCAACTTTAAAAGCCAATAAATACCTAGGAAAGCCATAAACTGATATATCCCATATATTCAGGGAAAGCAAGTAAAATCTAGAAGTAATAATGGCAAATACAAGTTTTAAAGGGCAAAGAAAATAATAAAATGTGGAGTTGAAAGCTCAACTATGAAGCTGACTATGGTGGTATACACTTTTATTCCTTGAACTTGGGAGACAGGCAGGAGGATGTTTGAGTTCAAAGCTAACCTCCTTGGCAGAGTGAGTTCCAGGACACTGGAGCTACACAGAGAGACTCTGTCTCAAAACAACAGTAATAACAACAAGAAGTAGAACAAAATCAAAACAAAACTCAACAATGGAATAATTGTTATTTTCCTTAGTGATACAAGGAACAGATTATAGAGATTATTATTATTTTACATTATCGTTCCTGCTGTCACTTCCTGTGGCAATCGTTATGTTTGTGTATATTGTTTAAAGTGTATTGCTATCTGAAAAATCAAAGTCAAAATGTGTAAGGATTATGTGTCAAATAAGCCTGATTAAAAGGTTTTGCTTCATGAATAAATGACATCTACTTTAGTGAATGTGCAATGAAATAGATATTTAAAGACACTTTGTACTTGCAACTTGTTTCATGTTAATATTTGACATTACCAGCAACTTGACACAAACTTGTGAATATAGGGTATATAGCCTGACAATGATATCAATATTGTGTAGTTGAATGTGACATCTATATGCATCTTATGTATTTCAGTCAGTGCAGTTTATGTTACTATTATTGTAGTTTATACATAGAAGACATGAAATATTTTCAAAAAATTACTGTTTTTTCGAGAATTACTATTACTATCTCATTTGTTCCACAAATATTCAATAAAAATGTTCTAATGACAAAGAATCTACTCTTGTTTTGCTTATTTAAAAATAAAGAGGGAAATTCAGAATTTGGTATACATATTACTGCAACATCTCTTCTGATCAATACAATTTGAGGAATTGGCTCTATTATGGGCATGAATATTCTTAAATGTTTAATAGCTACCATGATTCAATCACTGAAATAAGTGTGACAGTTATGTCTAGCATAGTGTAAAGCTATAAATGACCAAAAAGAACAATTCCTATTGTATTTAAAGATTAGCTGCAGAGTCAAAGAAATTATTAGACATGTCCTTTTCACTTTCATGCCAACTCCCTGCCAAACAAAGTTACAAGAAAATACAAATAATATATGATATATTATGATATGGCATGATATGATGAAGGGCATTCATTCTTCTTCACTTTCTACCTCATCTGACTGACCTATGTGAGAATGAACTTACCTAATTTTACTTCAGCGTTGTGAGTCAGCAGCACATTTTGTCCTTTGATGTCCCGGTGAATTACTTGGTGTGAATGAAGGTGAACTAAGCCCTGTACATACACACACATTTTAAAGTCAAGTAAGTATAAAGATACACATTTTTTTCAGTTTTCTAGTAGTGCTTTTAAGTTTTTTTTTTCTTTTTTTTTTGAAAAAAAAAAAAAGCTTTTGTTAAGAAAAATGGTTCACATTTGGCTTTTCAAACAAAATTCTTTCTTTAGGCTGGAATGACTACAACCAGTTCCCAGAAATACTACTTTTTGGCTATAAGGAAAGGAAAATAAATCAGGGTAATCATGAAAGAAAAAGAACACCAAAAATTAATATTTATATAGATTAGGAAACTTTATCCCCTTTTACAGTCTATATTTCTAAGTAGCCATGACAGTAAAGCCATGGACATCTAAACTATTAACTTTTTGGTTCTATTTCTTATTCAAATATTTGTTTAGTCAAAAGTATTTTCTGGTGAGGTCTGTAGACTTAGAATTTGAGGGAATATGGAAATTCATTTCAAAGTATGTACAATTTGTATTGGCTTACCATGTTGGCTCCTGACCATTCACCATTGAAAGAACCCCATGACCTGACTAAATCATGATGTGGTATGCAATATTACACTTCAGTGAGATCATGCCAGACACTAGTTGGGCATTAATAATACATTTATTGAGCTTTTATTCTGTGCCAGACATTGTGCTAAATGTTTAGAAGGAGTCATTAATAAGTTATCCCAGAATCCTTTTGGACAATATGCTATCATCTTATATCATGGATAAGGAAAATGAGACCTGGGGAATTCAAGGAATTGATTAAAGTTAACACAACTAATATGTTGATGAGCTAGAATCCAAATCTGGTATATGACTTGCACTCTTAAAACATTTGCATTGTTTTCACAAATAAATCAAACAAAATGAGATGGATTGTATACCCAAAGTGTTGAGGATACCCTTTATTTTATTAATATTCTGTTTTGGTCACCCTAATGACTTAAAGATTGAACACCAATTGAAGCTGGCTAACAAGAAACTCATTGCTTTAATCCAATTTAATGTGAGAAGTACAGAAAAATGTGGGACCATTTCCAAAGTGGATATATGCCTTTTAAAAAGGGTGCAGATGGTTTGGGGTCATAATGTAAGAAACTGACTTTTTCTGACTAGACCTCACCTTAAACTATAATGATAGTGCTATTATTAAAAAACTAATTAAGCCATAACATCAGTCCCATGATCTGATGAACACAGCATGAATCTCAGAGAGAGCCACTCAAGGCTTAGAGGTTTTGGGGATTTCTTATCCACAGGTTATATCTAAAATTTTTAGTCAGGAATACAATATAAATATTTATATGTAACTTTGCTCTGTGTGTGTGTGTGTGTGTGTGTGTGTGTGTGTGTGTAGTGTGTTAGAGCTAGGGGCAAGGATAATTTGACCACTCACCTCAAGAATCTCCCGACAGATATAAGCAATCCAGTCTTCTTTTAAACTCTGATTTTTTGTCATCCTCACTACATCAGTGACTGAGCCTGCTGCACATAACTCCATCACCATCTGCAAAGGAACCGTAAAAAAAAAAATACGAAATATTTTAAAAATTACAACAGTGGATTGAAATTTTTTTAAGTTTTAATTTTTTTTATTATTTATTTATTTTTCTTATTTTACATGTCAATTCTAGTTCCCTCTCCATGCTCCCCACCAGCCCTCCATCCCATCCCCCATCCACTCCCCAGGGAAGGGGAGGCCTTCCATAAGATATCATCAAAATCTTTGAAGTCATTTGGGGTAGGGCCTAGGGCCTCCCTCCTGTCTCTAGGTTAAGGGAGTATCCCTCCATGGGGAATGTGCTCCCAAAGTCCTTTTGTGTACCAGGGATAAATCCTGGTTACACTGCCAGAGGTCCCATAAACTGGCCAGGCCTTCTACCTGGCACCCACGATCAGGGGGTCTGGATCAAGATTTGTGAGGATAACTAAACCTGGAAGCACATTCACATGTTTTATTAGCAGGTGGAATTTTAACTAATCTATGACACATAGGTTTCATAGGTTGTGGTGTGAGGCACTTAGAAGGAAGATCCTTTAAGTTTATATTTTAAGAAAAGAACCAATGGAACTGGGTGGTCGTGGCACATGCCTTTAGTCCTAGCACTTGGGAGTTCGAAGCTAGCCTGGTCTACAAGCAACAGAGAAATTGATTCAAGCCCCTCCAAAAAAATTAAATAAATAAGAAAGAAAGAAAAAAAGAAACAATGCCCTTGACCTTGATAAGAAGTTGGTGAGGAGGAGAAGCCTGTTGATTGGTGTGGAAAACAAAGAAAGAATATTTGACATATGGAGAATGTTAAAAGACTCTACAGGTCACTGTTAACATTATTTGTTTCCATTTCTTAATGGGCTAGAATGACTGAATGAACAGAGTACTAATATATCTGATAATGAGAGTCAATGTTTCTAATATGTTGTGTGAAAGCTAAGTTTGTAATATTTTATGAAAATTATGGCATACATGCAAACATTAAATACAGTAACCATAGAAGTGTGGAACAATATTTAATAAATTTTCAACTATGGATGTCAGAGAACAGAAAATCCAGTTACTTGCACTTGCAAGAAAAACAGGGTAATTTGAATATCTCTAAATTTGATGGTCCTAAGCATGCTGTTATTATACTAGAAGCACCACTGTCATCTATGGACTTACTAGAAAGTGCAAACCTAAAACACATGCCAGACCTACTCAATTAAAAATTCTATAAAGGTCGGTGAACATTCTGTGCTATAGAACGTTCTCCAGAAGACCCCAATTCATGATAAATTTGAATTTTATTGTAATGTGTTGTAAGAATTTCTCTAACATCAATTACCTTAATCCTCAAAATCTATTATGTAGATTGTAATAGGACTTTTTATTGACACTAAAAGATCCTGAAATCTTTCTGTTGCTATTTTTTTTAAAGCCATTATCCCAATTTAAGTCCAAATACTCTGTCTTCAAAGGTATCATTGAATATAAAACTCAGTTTCTAAAATAGTGAAGCATGGTAAAAAGTCTAATAACTGGACTAATTAGACTAAGTTCAAGTTAGTTACTGAAATTTGTATGCTTTTCATCTGGAATTTAGTAGTACAGCCATGATGACAAATCAACCAACAACGTGGCTATATTTATGCATAAGTGCACAATATGTCAAAATACCTATCTGTATGTGTTAAGTACTAATTCAAATTTATCCTCATCTGTTTATTATTTTTCTCTCATAATGGCACCTGGGTACCAGCAAGAAGAACAGCAGAGCTATAGTTTACAATTTGAATTTCAAATTAACAGTTCCTCTATCCTCCTCCAGCCTGCTGAAAAGTTCCTAGCCAGGCGTTTAACTTATCATTTCCATTTCTTATCATGATGTCTCATGGAGCCAGAATATATATTGCCATACTATTTTGAACAGTTGAGAGTTTACATTTTCTAGTAGGAAAGCAAACATCACATCTCGGCTTCTTCCCTGTCTGACTTTTCCTATGGAAAAAGATCAGGGTAAAGAAAAACATACCCAAAGCTGGTGCCTATGGCCAGGAGGACTCAGCTTGAAAAACGCACCATAGAAGGACACAATGTTTTTGTGGAAAGAGTACTTCCTCAGCAGATTGAGTTCAGTCCTGAGATCCTCCTCTTCATCCTAAGCAGTAAAAGCAGACAACAAAGCTTTAAGCTATGTAAATCAGTAGCATTTCTATAATTATACATAACATATGCATAAAGGAAAATTTTATATTAATGGTATATTCTATGGTAATTCAGAATAAGATCAAGAATAAGCAATGATTGGAAATCTCTGATAAAATTACAGTTTAGGAGAAAAAAGAAAGATCTCTTAATTCAGAAGTTCTTAAAATGTGACCCTGGAACAGCGGCACTTCCCACACCTTGAGAACGTATTCAGTAAAAGGTGTACTTTTGTTTTGTAATTTTACTGAAATACAGTTCACACATTATAGAATTCAGTCACTTAAAATGTAACACCCATTTTTATTAACTTAGATATATATTAATGTCACCACAGTAAATCACAGAACATTTCCCCTCTAAAATGATACAGTATAAACTTTCATTGGTAGCCTACCCCAAATTCTCCCACACTCATCTTAGTTCTGAGAAACCGCTGATTTACATTGTATCCAAAGTACATAAATTAAATTTTATAATAGGTAGTCTCTTCAGACTAGACATTTCTGAGGTTTATACATGAAATGTCTATTCATAAAATATGAGTTTTTCAATTATTTTGGTTTACAATCAATCAAATGATGGGCACATTGGTTACTTCTACCTTCTGGGTACTGTGAATAATGTTTCTATGAGCATTCAAATGAAAATTTTAATGTACATGTTTCATTCTCATGATTCTAGTATGTTTAATAATATGGTGAAATGCTAAACTCATATTCAAAAACAAGTGCATCACTTTGCCTTACCAACATAGCATATAAAGGAAGTTCTGATTGTTCTACACTCACCAATAGTGGTCATTATCTGTTTACTGAGAGTGAAATGACAGCATTATGTGGTTTTTGACTTATAATACCCTGGTAAAAAGTGGTTTCAGATTATCTTATCAATTTCTTATTAGTTAGTGTGTGTGTGTGTGTGTGTGTGTGTGTGTATGACAAAATACTGAAATAAAATGTTCTTTGTACGTTTAAATGTTTGGTTGTCTTTTCATTGTATAACTAAGGTGTTTTTTTAAAAAGAATTCTAGATACAAATTCTTTATTAGAACACGAATTTATAAGTATCTTCATCCATTCTGTGAGTTGCCTTAAACTTTCATATTTTCTATGAAGCATGCATTTTTACTTTTGATAAAGTTCAACTGATTATTATTTTATTGTTAGTACTTTTGTTTTATATCTAAAGATTCATCATCAAATAAAAATCACAAGCATTTACCTTTATGTTATTTTATAAGCATTTTATTGTTTGTAAACCATTTTATGGATCTCATGTTTAGGCCCTGGATATATTTTCAGTCAGATTTTTTATTGTAAATGTATAGAACTAGTAGCAAAATGTTTTAATTAGCCTTTTATACATTTGAACGTCATGGGTTAATTTGATGTTGATTTTGTAAAGTAAGTACATCATGTCTGTAAAACAAATAATGATCTAGTCTCACTGATTATTTTCAGAGTCTCATTAAAGGGTTGTAGTATATATTCCGTCAGAGTTGTGCATGCTAAAAATGTACCTAGAGCCTGAAGTGATAAATACACAATACATATATATAGATAAATACACAACACATATATGTAACATATGATACACAAACACACAATAGCTACAGATATGCATATGTGGAACATACTTTAAACAGCTGCATGTGTCCCTAAAAATTTTTATTAATAACATCTATTCATAGCTATTAAAACTTTTATATCCTGTGGTGGCAGCATGAAATGATATATAATGGAGATATGGTTTTTGTGATTAGGGAATGTTGAAGTACTCTTTAAGAATTAGCAATTTATTGATAACTGAATTCGTCTGGTTAGGTGAGATAACTGATTGGGGTGAAAAGCCAGAAAAGAGCAAGTATTCAGAATACTTGTAATTCTTCTATTTTTTACCATTGGTTTTCCACAGTAGGAAGCCCACTTACTCTTACTAATGTTCCATTTACTTAAAAAAAAAATACAGTAGAAGACAGGAACATTCTCCTGTCTTTATAGAAAATCTATGCATGTGCAACTAACACACTTTTTAGCCAAAATAATCAAGCTGATTTAGAGATGCTAACTGATTAGCTAGCAACGATGTTCCTTTACTAAAACATAATCACAAAATTCAAAATACATGACTTAAAAAAATAAAACTTCCAAGAGTGGGTTTCCCACATAAATGTAAACTCTCCCAAAACAAACAAATGAAGATCAGATATGTTTGGAAAGCATTAGTGTGTTTGCCACTCTCAATTAACGGGAAGTTGAGCTTGTAAGAAACACACAAGTACATAATATCCATCAGTGCAAGTGGGTAATTTAAAACTCTCACACATCTCCCAGTAATATGATGCTCCAGTATTTCCTGGCGGTGGGCCAGAAGATCCTAGACTGGCCTGAATAACCTGCTTTTTGTCAGAAGGCAGCTTAAGGATGCCAGAATTCCCTTTGTAAATTCACCAATGCTACAATCAAAATCCTCTTTATTTGGAAAAATACCAAAAAGGTCTTGGAGACTTTAACATTTTTATTAATAATAGACTTTTGTGGAAAACAGAATTGTTCAAATGATTCTAATTTTCATTCCCATTGTTTAGTGTGTTTTTGATCTACCAAAGCTACTTACAGCTGCTTACTTTGAATATGTTTCTACTGTTATGATATTTTATAAACAAAAGAAGAAGCCTGTTGTGTAACAGATAAATCATGAAGGTATTTGGCAATGGGTTTTTCACATACATAGAAAGATTCTAAATGTGTTTGTGTTAATAGAAAGGGTTATTTTTAATGTATATGAAACTATATTTACTAAGGCACAAAGGCTAAAAATATCTAAACGTTATTTATTTGGCTGCAGGAAAAAAAACTAGAAAAATTAATCAATTATTTATATTGATATGAACAATAATTTCGGTTTTATGCTCATAGCTCATATAATATTTTGATAGAGAATTAAGGTCTTTTGAAACATTATTTCTGTATGTCTAAACTTATTCTAAAGTCAGTGATTATTGGGATAAGAGAAATCTCAGAAATTCTGAAAAGAGAAAGTTTTTCACATTCCTTCTTGTGTTCAAGTATTGTTGACAAATATCTGGAATGTTAGGATATATGTGTACCCTCTAGGCTTTCTACTATCAGCTTTGCAGTATAAAACGTGGGCAAAATTTGGCTCAAACACATTGATGTCTGTAAGTGACATAATTGGATAACAATGATTCATTCTAGAAAAGGTGTGCAATGTAAAAAGGACATTGCTAAGGTTAATTTCAGGAAAAAGTTATTCTTGGTATAGTCAACTCTTCCCCTGTTACGAGTCAATGAGAAGGTTCTATACTTTGTGGACATACTCAAGATTTCCCCTACAGCCAGTGATCGACTATATGAAGGACCATCTCTTCCAGGTCCTCGTCTTTGACACATGATATTCAACTCTGATGAGTGAATCAATATGAAAGTAGAAGATATACATGTTATAATTTCCAGCATGGTTAGCAGCATTTAGAGGGATCCCATGCAGAGATAATGATTAACTGAAACCTGAAATTAAAGGAAAGACTATGGAGGTGCTAATGAACACATTTAGTACTCACACTGTATCTCCATCCAACAGACTTTTGATATTTATTCACTCGCACTTTCCTCCCTATTTCAGGCAAAGGAGTCTGGAAAAAAAGAGAAATATTGTTAGACTTACTTAGTATAATTTCATAATCGTTTATGCTGAAGTTTTTGTGCTACTTTAGCATTAAATTGTAGATGAATAAAACATTCTTTTCTTGCTTCCCAATAATAGTATTAATCTAAAAAAAAAATCAGTTTCTTATGACATGTGTAAACTGGTCACTAAATTCATGTTAATGAAATTTAAAATATTTGAACAAGTGTTTAATGTGGTTCTAGAGCTCCTAAGCTAAAATAAGGAAATAAGTATTTTATAGAATCTTACTAAAAATGGGTTATTCAGAAACTATGGTTTATAAGTCCACAAAACCTCCAAATCATTTGAATTTCACATTGGTTTGCAACATTTGACATTTACTGGCAAAAGAAAAGTACTTGATCCTTTTTTCACTAATTTTAAAGTAACATTTCACTGTAGGATACAGCAGTTCCATAACTCTACATTGTCTGTCAAGTATTTTTCCTTTAGGAAATTATGAAATAAAAATTTCTTGACTTCTGTTATGTTTATGTTAATATTATTTGAGAAAGTGAATTACTCAAGCTAAAGACAGAGGGCAGAAATCAGTCCTTTGCAAATTCATTGACAATAGATCATGAACTGTAACACAATTTTATGAATGTGAGCAGGAACAGTGCCAATTAAATTGTCTCTCTTGCTTATCTGTCAGAAAATATATGAAACATGTACATTTCTGACAACTTCTTTCCTTCTATCTGTCATTGGTGATCTAATGGCCTCAATTCTCAAAAGAAATCATTGGAGAAAAATATGACAGAGCAGAGCAGTATTAGCACAATGCTAAAGGAAATATCTTCTTGCTATCCACAACAACAGAAAATCAACTAAAATAGGGAGGGATAGGTATTTTCCCAATTGGCTTATCATATCAAATATTTGGAATTTATGGTAAGAGTTAATTAATGTGGAAATAAAACAAACCAGTAAGTGTAATACATTATTAATTGTGATTATGACTATACTTTTTTCCAGATGGCTATAGTTTTTCCAGATTAAATCGAACTGATGTATAAAATCATGACTTTAAAACAAAGCTTTTGGAGTTGTTTATCCCATGAACATAGTGTATTAAGTGCGCAGAATATAGAGAGGGCTCAATATTGATTACCTTCCGGGCATTCATTACTTTAACAGCTGTGAATGAACCCGTTTTTTCATGGAGTCCCTGAAAGAAAGGATAGTGATAAATGTCAAATGTTTGTTATTCACACAGCTACTAAGAAACTAATAAAGCAACATAGATTATAATTAGTTAAAGTCAAGGTCATCATAGCATGCTAATAAATAGGGATATGTGTTTATATCGAATATAACTATGTTATCAACATTTACATAAATCCAAAACATTTCACTGAAAATAAAGAAAGATTATTAAGTAGCTTAGATGTTTGTGCTTATATCACGCTGTAATTGATCATCGAAAATGATCATTTACTTAATACAAATAATAGTCGTGGTTTGTGTTCCAGCAAAGGATCCAGATGAAAAGTGCAAATCTTCAATTAAAGATAGCAAGAAGACATATTACTCTACACTTTTTGACCTACATGTATGTGATACTGTGCAGAGATATCTTCCTACTGAATACTGCCTCATACGCACAATTTCCCCCATAATGATCACTGGTGAGAGTGGCACATAATTAGGTCAAAAGACTCTAAACTTCTTAATATGTCTCGTGTCATAGGAACTAACACTTAAATAAATTCTAGAATATTTGTTTTCTTACTGGAATAACAGTGACTTCTAATAATATAGTTAAGACCTAAATGCAGCTCATAGATTTATAAAGATATTAAAGTTAACATATAGATTTTTTTTAAGTTCAAGTTCATTTGTGGCATGTAATTAAAAAAAAAAATTCATGGTGTGGTAATAAAAAATCCCAGCCCAGTGCTACTATGAGTAAGTTAAGTGGAATGCCTTCTATGATAGTTCTTTAGCAGAAAATTATTCTTGGACTATATACTAGTTGGACAATATTCCCCTAAATTCAAAGTTCACCTTGTACTCCACATTGTGACCTTATTTGGTTATACCTGCATTTCTCAGTATGCACAATGAATTAAAGCTTTCTTTGTTTCTAAGAAGTTATTCATGGGTCAACTTGCTATTCTGTTCATACTACTATTCTGTGCAATATAAAGTATTTGGGTACTAGCAAAGATATTAACCATATAGCATAATCTTTGATAGTAAAATTTAAAACCTTGAAAAATTTAAACTCAGTCACTACCATACTTGCCAAAACACATAGTGAGGTAATTGAATATCAGTTAAGTGCTAGTACTCATGGTCTAAAGAATAAGTTCATTAATATCCTCTCAATCTATGATTGATTCTCATTTCAAAATTGCACACAATTATTTGCAGGACAATTATATACTAAAGTGGAGTTTCAAGAATTTACTTACTATTCCTGAAGGAAACTAGACCTTGCGTCTTGAAATCATTTAATAGATTAAGACACAACCATTACAGACTTCAGTAGATGTCTAGTGTATTAAAAATACATGATTAAAAATTGCTGTCACTAAGATTAATATTTCAAAGTTTTCCCTTGTACACTGATTTTCTTTTAACATCTACAATAAAATAATTTCAAATTCGGAGATTAGTTTCAAATCTAGCAGAGTTCCTATGTATTGTTTTCCCGATTTCTATAATGTTAGTATATTACAAGACTACAGTACAATAATAAAAACAGTCAATTAATATTGTAGCACTATCAAGTCACTATTCTCCATGCCATAGTGTAATTCATTGGAAGTGGCTGACATTAGTTTTGAAGGATACTGTTATTCATGACTAGCTATTTAGATACTCTAGAAGGGGCCTTTCTGAAATAAGCTAATTGTTCAGTAGTGCCATCTTGTGGTTTGCTGATTATGTGGAACTTGTTTTCTGCTAAGAGCTGAAGACTATGTTACAGAGAGAGGACTGCAGCACTTGTAATGTGGGGTTTGGTGTAGTCTTTTCTTTTTCAGGTACAATTTATGTTTTATGTGTGCAAAATTTTCTGTAAATATATGTAGAAAATCCTAAGAAATCAGATAGGCTTTGTATTCTAAAATATTAAGAATTGCCGTATGCTCTACTGAGTATTAAAATGTCCAAAATTATAAACTGGATTTTGGTGTCCACTTTCCTTTTGGAAATATCAACAATATTCAGAAAGCACTACTTGTACCGGTACAATAATTCTTCTTAAATTATAAAACAGTCAAAATGCTAGAACGATAAACTGCAGGGAGTCACACAGGTTTCAAGATTTGTATGCCTATAACAGGGAAAGGAAAAGTCAAAGACTTGTTCCTCAGATAAATTCGTGAATCCATAATACAGTCTGTTCAAGGGTTCAAGGCAATGAATACAGAATACCAAAAGACATAAATAAGGTCCAAAATGACTGTCCTAAGAAATTATAATGCTTTCACAACTAAACATGTATTCTTTACACAGATCTAATTGAAATAACTCAGGAGAGAACATAAATCCCTCAATGTTCTCATTTCAGCTTAGCAGAGATTTGTGTTCTTAATTAATTTAGGCTAATCAAATAAACACTCTTATTTAGTTTGCTTTCTCTGGGAAAAGCAAAGTTCATTATTGTGCTGTTGGTCTTCACTTGCTTGAAAATTAGTACCATCATTCCGAATAGATCTTACTAACAGAAAATGCCACATACTCCTAAATTTAAGACAGTTATCACATACAAACATATTTATATGTGCTATACACATATATAAATGCATGTGTTTATTTAATTGGAGACTAAAGCCCTTTATACGTATAAGTTAAGGGGAGATCAACAACACAATGTTGAGGAGTTAAAGAAAACTTTCACTACTACTCCTTCAATGACCTTGGGAAGTCAAATTATGACACTATAGAATAACTACAATTTGGGGAAGTATTTTGAAAATAAGAAAGTAAGGCTAATTTAAACACTAGGGTTCCAAAAGCAAATGTCACTGAACTTATAACTACAGAAGAAATGTATGAGTTGTCGGGGTCTTTATCACTTGACACTTAATGAACCAGCTTCCAACAGACCAATAATTCAACCACCTTTCCAAGCCAATATTTTCTTTCTGTTGGCACAGAACTTTTCAGTAAGCTTTTTTTACAATTCTTCCCTTTTCCTGTGGGGCTGTTAAAATGAAAATGAGTGTCCCAGTTACTTGCAGATTCCCATTACAATAGTTGGAAAACCTTAGAGGTGGCACAGACATCAAATGGAACATGACTATATCACAGCATTTGAAAAGACAGAAGATTAAATCAAGGTCTCCAAGTGGATAGAACTTCATAAGCAAATATGATCAGGCAATGCTGGGTAGAAAAACTCAACCCACTAACCACAAAATATATTAGGAAATGGGGAATGAACACACAGCAGAAAATTAGAAACAGAATGTCAGAACACACCTGCTTTAGTCATATCAGAAATGTCAGTGGAAAAATAAAATCTTACTGAAAGGGAGAAAACATCATTGATAAAATAAGCCATTAGTGGGGGCTGGAGAGATGGCTCAGCGTTTAAAAGCACTATCTGCTCTTCCAGAGTTCCTGAGTTCAGTTCCCAGCAACCACATGGTGGCTCACAACCATCTGTAATGAGATCTGGCGCCCTCTTCTGGCCTGCAGGCATAAATGCAGAGAGAGAGAAAACACTGTATATCTAAATATATATATTTTAGAAAAAATAAGCTCTTAGTTGTGTACTTCTTGATGGGCTTTTGTTAGCTAATAGTCTGATGCAAGACTCAAAATTGGTAAGGCACTGAAAAATCAGAGCTGAATTGCAGCAATGATCAATTTCTTGGGTATTATACATTCAAACCATAACAAATGATTTAAAATAACAGTTGTGACAGCTGTGTTGGCAAAATCCATCATTCTGTAAACTGGTAATTACTGTGTTTCCCCCTAGAAAAAATATAGGATAGTTCTTGACGGACTTGTCATTATCATTAGGCATTTTTATATTATGTAGTTAAAGTAATGGTTGTGGGGGGAAAACTGCCTTCTCTTCAGCCATTCATTCAGAGTCCTTCCAGTTATTTGTTTTGCTTTCAGGTGGCAAACTGAAACCACACAATCTCCATGGCATTCTTTCTTTTCAGTTGGGCTTGTGGTAGAGAATGACCACTCATATATTCTCAATATTCATGTCCATTATTATAAGTGTGTGGCTTGATTTTCATTCACATAGTTTTGTCTTTTGTCATCTGTTTTGATCACTAGCAAAACACTTAACTGATCCTGAAGGACAGCACAAGGACAGCTATAAGCAATATCTGGAAGTCCTTGTTGAGACAAAATGGCAAACACTTCTATCTATGAGGAAATATAAAGGCATGTGGTTGGTTGAGTACTTTCAAAGATTAGCAAGGCGTACCTTCCAAGTATGTCCTTCCAGTAACTATCCCTTTAGACTGATAATAAGGGTACTGTTTCTTACATAGCTGTCTTACAGATGTGTTCAGAGTAATCAGTGCTTGGAGGTGTTAATAAAATCAGCAAAAATATAGTGAAGACAGAGGGTGAGATACATGAAATATCAATCACTGTCCAAGAAAGAGCTTCAGTATATTTTGGAAGAATTTCATGAGCTTCAAATTTAGATTTTTAAAAGACACGTTAAGGGACTCAAATATGCAGATATTAGAGAGGCGATAATTACTAAATGACAAAATTATTAAGACTCGCCCATTTCCAGTCCCATAAGTGTACTATAAGAACACACACTGTGATCATTACATTAGACTGAATGACTGCCAGAGTGCATTATGCAGAACATGTTATTCAACATTTGCATGAATATCTCATTGGTGTAAAGGTTTTGGCAGAGCATGTGTATCAAAATTGGAAAAGTCTTCCTAGGTGTGAGCTCTCAGGGAGAGCTTTAAAAAAAAAACTCAGAGTAGTTCAATGGTTGTGGCTAGAAGCAGATGGAGCCAAAAGCTCAACAAATTTTAACATTGAATCCTTAGGATAATCAAACTACTACAACTTTCATGGCTGGCATTGCAAGTTAAAAGGGTGAGAGTAAAAAGGAGTAATTTTCTGTTAAGAATTCTAATGAAGAAACTTTTTTAAGACGTTATACATATTACTTATAAAACAATTGTTATTACGGCGGCTACAAAGCTATGCCAT